CAAGGAGAAATTATTCTGCTAACCTGTGATGTATTAGGAGGTAGGTTGAGCTTTACACAGTTATACAATTTATATATTAACTAATGAGACAGGGCGCAAGGAGAAATTATTCTGCTAACCTGTGATGTATTAGGAGGTAGGTTGAGCTTTACACATTTATACAATTTATATATTAACTAATGAGACAGGGCTCAAGGAGAAATTACAAAAATCCTAATAATGGGTTTCAAGTGTTAACCATGCAGTTATAATAACACAATATTGTGATTCACTAAAAGGTGACTGTAAAAACGGTATAAAATTCTGAAATTTCTGGTTATTGATTATTGACCCGAGCGCAATTGACTAGGAAAATCAAAGCAAATTAAAAAACTAAAGAGAGAGAAAAAATTACATAAAATCTTATTTTGATAAAGTATAAACAAGAGTATTATTTTACTTATTATTGGGTCAATTGAAAAAATCTATTTTTGGTTATACAATACAATATAAGCAAAACAATAGTAGAAATCTACTTATTTATGTATATACAATGGAATATATTTTGGATAGTTATTTATTGATAATAATACAATTTTGAAAATAAAAAAAATTATAAATTTAAAATGTATCTCTATGAGATCCATTTAATAAATTTTTTATATCTGATTTCATAATATTTTGTTGTCTAGGATATCCAGTATCTAGGGTATCCTGGTGGATGGATGGTATACTCCTGGATAGTGTTTAGTATCTTGTATATGATATTTTGTTGTCTAGGATATCCAGTATCTAGGGTATCCTGGTGGATGGATTGGATACTCCTGGATATTGTTTAGAATCTTGTATATGATATTTTGTTGTCTAGGATATCCAGTATCTAGGGTATCCTGGTGGATGGATTGGATACTCCTGGATATTGTTTAGTATCTTGTATATGATATTTTGTTGTCTAGGATATCCAGTATCTAGGGTATCCTGGTGGATGGATGGGATACTACTGGATATTGTTTAGAATCTTGTATATGATATTTTGTTGTCTAGGATATCCAGTATCTAGGGTATCCTGGTGGATGGATGGTATACTCCTGGATAGTGCTTGGAAGGAACATATATTGTCCTGGAATAAGTTTATGGAAAATATTCAATCCTCTGTAAAAATTAAAATTTTATATTCAAAATAATCTAGAGGTAATTTCTTGTGACTCATGAAAGTGCAATTCACAATAGTACACTTTGAACCTTTATCTCAATAAAAATAAGTAAGTTTGCAATGTTTTTTTTTTTTATCTTAAACAGATAAGTGTCCAAATAATGCTCCATTTGTAATTCTTGCCTCATTGTCCTATTTGGCATAAGTTAAATAAAACCATTAAAAACACATTAGATATTATTTTAAAGTTAGAATAAAGTTGTTCCTCAATTATACCAAAGAAGTGTCTCTCTATTGTACAATAACGATTAAATTAATCCGAATAATGGAGTTTCCAAGTTTATATGTTTCTGCTGGGTTTAGGAGATTTCTACAGGAAAATCTCGCAACACCCTTCAGCTTCTCCTCACCAGAGATATGAATAGAAAACAGATCGAATGCAGGAGTGTACACAATTTACAACCTTATACCTAGTTTATATAGAATGACATGCATTAAAGATAAGCCACGTGCAGTTAACATTATTTTTAGAAAAATTGTTGTTTGAGACTCTTTAAAACCCATTATCCTAAATTACCAGCGCAATAGAATTTTTTATTTGTACTTTTTCTACCTTTTACATAAGCCGTTTTTAACCGCAAAAAAAGAGTTTGTTTTGCTGAAAAGAAATTGCGCCTTTGCCGCAAACTCTTTGCAACCCAATGTTATAGACCTTTCAAACAATGAATTTCGATAGATCAAATAACCTAAGTTTGAAATATTAAAAGCTTTCACCATTAGGTTGCAAAGATATATGATTATGAGATCAGAGTTTGAGGCAAAGACTCAATTCCTTTAACATGGTTCTTTAATTGATTTTGAATTAATTTTGAAGAAATTATTATTGAATGGTTATCTGTAACTCATGATTTATCAAAGGAATTGAGTCTTTGCCACAAACTCAGATTTTATAATCCGAATATCTTTGCAACCCAATGAATTAGTCCTTATATATTTCAATCAATAGATTATGTTAGATCAAATATTCTAAGTTTACCATTTCAAAGGTTTGCACCATCAGGCTGCAAAGATATAAAGATAACATTTAAGCGTTATTTTTTTCTTTTTACATTTAAAATTTGGATTTTATGTTTATTGTTTTTTGTTTCTTCATTTGTATTCTCCGAAGTACTTTTCCTGAATAAGAATGTGAAATCACAAACAAACCGCTCTGTGTTTAGAATAATGTAAATTATCCTTTTCTATTAGAGAAGAATTTTAAGTATTTATTTTTGCATAAAGTTGACACTTTTCAGAGGAGAAAACAACAATCAAACAGAACCAGTGTCTGCCACTTCAACAATTAATATACTTTGTAAGTTTTAACTTTTATTTATTTAATACTTTATAAAAGATGAAAGTTTATGACAGGCTAAAAGTCCTGCCTTAATTTAATTTCTTTTTCGTGGAAATCTAAATCATTTGACACAGAACGAAACAAGCGTGTAAACAAAGAGAAAGAATGTAATTTTTTATTCTTTTACTTGTCATTTCTGATGTCTTATCGTTTAAGGGTAACCCTGTGTATAAATATAAAAAGAAATATTTAAAAATCTGAAAGAAAGATTACTATAAAATTAAGGATAATGGCATGTCCGATTGACAATGCTACCCTTTAAACCATTAATAAATAATGTTAAGAAAAAAAAAATGGTCATTTTTCATCTTAAATAATTGTTCCTACATCAAAACTCCACAACTAATTTATTTTCAGATAGAGACCTCAATTCAAATAATTATGATATAGTAAAGAAATATAAGGATATCTTATTCAACCTTGATAAGAAAAAATTTAAGGGGGCCTTTGACAAAAAGGATCATTTAAAATTACATCTTCAGTCTCTCAATAAACAACATCCCTGATTATGCTTAGGACTTAAATAATTTACATTATTTTGGTCGAAATTGGTTGATAAATGTTGCTCCTCATAGTTTTAATGAGAGACAGTTTTAAGAACGTAATTAACCTTTCTCAGAAAAGTATTCTCATAAACAAAAGCTAATTTGCAGAAGTATATGATAAGAAAACCAGGCTTTTAGCAAATGCAAAATTATTTTCATAAAAGAGATGATGTTTCCTAGTCTGTATTTGTACTTAAAAAGGGACCGTTCACCTATTTGACTAATTTCATGATAAACTAAATAGCCCAGTAGCTAGTAATTCCTTGGTATTAGTCTTACTTTTTAAAGATAACTATGGCTAGAGAAATAGCCGATTTAACGTTTAGAATTCCAGTGCAAAGGTACGATATCTTTTTATAGACACTATTTAAACGTTTTTTTCCAGTAACAACAGCCCAATAAATCTAAAATTATCATATTTCAATGAGAAATCTTATCAATCCGACCCGTCAAATGTTTGAAATAAGTCATATTTTGAAAATAGACAAATTTTAAATTAGTTTGAAAAAAAATAAAGATATGTACAATTAACTATAGACGCTACAGTTAAATCTAATATTTGAACATTTAAAAAAATCCATGACTATGTCAAAAAACATCAAATAGTGTAAATGCAAAGGTATCATACCTTTGTGCTGGATTTCTAAACGAAAAATCGGCTTTTTCTCCGGCCACAGTTGTCTTTGAAAAAAAAACTATTATCAATGCATAGCGTATGGGCAATTTGTTTAGTTTACCTTCAATTCACCCAAATAAGTGAACGGTCCCTTTAATAAGCAGGTTTTGTACAGAGATATATTCAAGGGGCCAAGAAACCTAACATTTTTCAAATCGACACACTTTATACGAAAAACAAGATTTGTACATTGAAAATGGCCGGGTGTACAATTCGACAATATTGAACAAAAATTGATATTGATTGCAATCATTAAAAAATTTTCTCTTGTAATCATCTATATTTCGATAATAAGATGCACTTTTAAATAAAATGTCCTCCTTAGACCATTGCCCTAACCCATGTATCGTTCACATCCTGCATTTCCACCAATTATGATTCAAGCAGTTATAAATGCAGCATAATTACCTAGTGGCTCCGCGGTATGTGAAGATTACTCATATCCCTGGTGAAATGTCTGCTGGAAAGGAATATCAGCTAGAGTGTACTGCTGGAGGATCCAACCCTCCTCCTCTCATCTCATGGAGACTCTGGGATAGTTCTCCACTAGCAGGAGCTACACAGGTGGTAAGTATACTAAGTTCTAGTAGTTCTCCACTAGCAGGAGTTACACAGGTGGTAAGTATACTAAGTTTTAGTAGTTGTCCACTAGCAGGAGCTACACAGGTGGTAAGTATACTAAGTTCTAGTAGTTCTCCACTAGCAGGAGCTACACAGGTGGTAAGTATACTAAGTTCTAGTAGTTCTCCACTACCAGGAGCTACACAATAGGTAAGTAAACTGAGTTCTAGTAGTTTTCCACTGGCAGGAGATACAAATTTAGTAAGTATACTAAGTTCTAGTAGTTCTCCACTACCAGGAGCTACACAATAGGTAAGTAAACTGAGTTCTAGTAGTTTTCCACTAGCAGAGCTACACAATAGGTAAGTAAACTTAGTTCTTGTAGTTTTCCACTAGCAGGAGCTACACAATTGGTTGTGATTGTCTAGGTTTTCTGCTTCATAGCTCAGGGTTGAAGAGGATGGATGGATCTGATATTAGATCTGGTCAGAGGGTTGTGAATATCTAGGTTTTCTACTTCATAGCTCAGGGTTGAAGAGGATGGATGGATGGATCTGATATTAGATCTGGTCACAGGCTTGTGATTATCTAGGTTTACTACTCCATAGCTCAGGGTTGAAGTGGATGGATGGATCTGATATTAGATCTGGTCAAGGGGTTGTGAATATCTAGGTTTTCTACTTCATAGCTTAGGGTTGAAGAGGATGGATTGATGGATCTGATATTAGATCTGGTCACAGGGTTGTGAATATCTAGGTTTACTACTCCATAGCTCAGGGTTGAAGAGGATGGAAGGATAGATCTGATAATAGATCTGGTCAGAGGGTTGTGAATATCTAGGTTTACTACTTCATAGCTCAGGGCTGAAGAGGATGGAAGGATAGATCTGATAATAGATCTGGTCAGAGGGTTGTGAATATCTAGGTTTACTACTTCATAGCTCAGGGCTGAAGAGGATATATTAGATCAGGTCACAGGGTTGTGATTATCTAGGTTTACTACTTCATAGGTCAGGGTTTAAGAGAATGGATGGATGGATCTGATAATAGATCTGGTCAGAGGGTTGTGAATATCTAGGTTAGCTACTTCATAGCTCAGGGTTGAAGAGGATGGATGGATCTGATAATAGATCAGGTCACAGGGTTGTGATTATCTAGGTTTACTACTTCATAGCTCAGGGTTTAAGAGGATGGATGGATCTTATAATAAATCTGGTCAGAGGGTTGTGAATATCAAGGTTTACTACTTTATAGCTCAGGGTTGAAGAGGATGGATGGATCTGATAAAAGATCTGGTCAGAGGGTTGTGAATATATTTGCTAGAAGATTAATCTCAGTTTAGAAGTATAACTCGGATCTTATATATCGAAAAACTTGTAGAAAAACACTTTAGACATAGAATATTTGAAAAAAGTAGAGAGCAAATATTTCAATACAAGTAGAGAACACTTCTATATTCCTAAAATTTTCATGTCTTAAGCTAAAAAAATATAAATAATGTGTTTATTTTTAGAGTTCTTATAGAATTCAAAATTTACACAACGATTCTGACGTTTTTTAATTCCAAAATCAATTTGAGTACATTTTCACTTTTTAAACTCTTTCTCTGCAGAGGTACTTAAACCCAGTAAATGCAATGAAGGGGGGAGGGGTTAACGGAATAAACTCAAATTTTCTAATCCCTTTATCTTTGTAATCTGATACATTGAAATTTTAAACTTTTGACTTTTAAATTTTTTGATCTAACAAAATCATAGTTTGAAATATTTAAGTACTACGCCAATTTGTTGCAAAGAAGGGTTAAAAAATCAGAATCATCGAGTTTGTGGAAAAGACGTTTTACTTTAATTTTTAAATGTACATTAATTACACTTCTTATAACCAAATTAAAAATTTAGTTTAAAGGTATTAAGTCGTTGCCAAAAATCACAGCTTCTAATCCCTCTTTCTTTGATATGATGTAAACCTTTGATATTACAAACTTACATCATTTACGACATTGGGTTAAACAAATATATGAAAACCAGGGATTGTGGCAAAAACTTAAAACTTTAAAATTTGCCATTTTAGGATGATACAGATGCAATGGTTTCAATCTCTAGACTTAGATTCACCCCAGGAGAAGAAGACGAAGGAATTAATATTTTAGTATTTTTTTTTTAAATTCAATAAACCAAAGTATTTTCTTCAAGTTTTCTTTTTTTTCGTGAGAAAACTAAAATATCTAAATCAACAGGAAAACTCCTTTTCTGCTGTGCTAAAAACTCAGTGTTAAACTCAACATTAGAAACGAGTATCAGGGTTCAAGTATCATGTAAGTTTATTTATTTAGGTTTATGTATCATGTAAGTATCATTATCTTGGTTCACATGTATTGTAAACGTATCTGTATTTAGATTCATGTATTATGTAAGTATTTGTATCTATGTTTTGTGTAAGCATGCATATCTAGGTTCATGTATCATGTATGTATTGCATAGGTTCATGTATTGTATAATTATCTGTATTTAGGTTTATGTATTATATATGTGTCTGTATTTAGGTTCATATGTCATGTAAGTGTTTATATTTATGTAAGTTCATGTATCATGTTAGTATCTGTAATTAGGTTCATGTTTTGTATAAGTATCTGTATTTAGGTTTATGTATTGTTTAAGTGTCTGTATTTAGGTTCATGTATTGTATAAGTGTCTGTATTTAGGTTCATATGTCATGTAAGTGTTTATATTTATGTAAGTTCATGTATCATGTTAGTATCTGTAATTAGGTTCATGTATTGTATACGTATACTGTATTTAAGTTTATGTATTGTAAAATTGTCTGCATTTAGTTTCATATGTGTCATTTAAGTATTTATATTTATGTAGGTTCATGTATTATGTTAGTATCTAAAATTAGGCTCATGTATCATGTTTATAGGATCTGTATCAGGGTTCAAGTATAATGTAAGTGTCTGTATAAGGATTTTAGTCGCTTATTTTACTCTGCATTGCAAAAAACCAAAATATTTGCGGAATTTTCTGTATAAACTAAATTTTTTTAAACCTACGTGAACATTTTTTCCGGTAAAATTTAAAATTTTGATCGTCAAGAAATCTTTCCTGCTATCATGTTATTTGCCACAATTTAATTTGGGCCGGAGGGACCAATTCAGCTATTTTGACGTTAATAAATGTATATGAATAAATATGTTGTTTTTATAAAAAATAAAATGTTTATATTTCATGTTTGCGCCAATTAAATGTTTTCTTTTTACTTCTGTTTTATAAACATAAAGGTCTGGATTGTTTTTTTGTAAATAGTTTTTATTGCTGATGTCCGCACCAATCGGCGGAAGGTAACATATGTTCTAAACAGATATCTGAAGAAAAGAAGGGAAAATATTACATATATTATATAACAATCATAAACTGTATATTGAATAACTACACTTATCTTAAAATACCCAAAAACAATATGAAATAAAAAATGGCCGAAATTGGATGAAAAAAGTTAGTTTTGATCTACCTTTTGCTTAAACTTGTTTTAGGATAATAAAAATGAGAAGCAGTCGTACATGCTTCATCCAATTGAGTCTGCAAGTAGACTTCATATAAACTTGTCTCTCGTCCAAGGTTGTTTATTAAGGTCGCTTACTCTGGATGCGCTCCAATGTTAAAAACATGGCGTCTTCTAAGCACTGAACAGTGAATTCCGAAAATGACGTTATAAGATCCTTACCTGCGCCTCATTAATCAGTGACGTCATTTACGGATTTCACTGTTCTTTGCTTAAGATTCTTCGTATATTGAAGCACATCGAGAGTAAACAACCTTAGTAAACAACCCGCATCGAGAGTAAACAACCTTAGTAAACAACCCGCATCGAGAGTAAGCAACCTTAGTAAACAACCAGCATCAAGAGTAAGCAACCTTATTAAACAACCCGCATCGAGAGAAAGCAACCTTATTAAACAACCCGCATCGAGAGTTAACAACCTTATTAAACAACCCGCATCGAGAGTAAACAACCTTAGTAATCAACCCGCATCGAGAGTAAACAACCTTAGTATACAACCCGCATCGAGAGTTAACAACCTTATTAAACAACCCGCATCGAGAGAAAGCAACCTTATTAAACAACCCGCATTGAGAGTTAACAACCTTGCTCCCGCCTAAATGTTTTATTTTTAAATGAATACAAAACTCCCAAAAATTCCGGACTTTACACTTGTCTCAGAATTCGTTGTCATAATTCGTGGAAACTAGAGAAACTTTCCTCTCTTTAACATGTTTCTGATCTTGGTTTCAAGTTGGATAATATAATCTATTCATGGGAAACTAATCGAAAATAACATTTTTAAATAAAATTTTGGCAGTTATTCTGTGGAATTAAGAAATATGATTTAAAAGTTTCAACGGTACGCTTATAAAACTCATAAACTCATGAGGTTCAATTAACACCACTTTCACAAGTTCACAACCCCTTTAAACAACGTTAAACATATAACCCAAAGACTTTGCTAATTATAAAGACGATGCGTATCTTTAATTAGCAAAGTTTTTGACATAATATATTTACATTTTGTCTGGTTAAATCTCCTGTATTAGAATGTATAATGTTTAGCTGTACCCCGGGTCCTGCTAGACTATGGAGCAAGTATAAGGAAGGATCGGATCAAGGAAGGAGATGATATTTATCTTAACTGTCATATCTCCGCCTCTCCGCAGACCTTCAGAGAATCATGGTTTTACCAGGTACAACATAAATCCCATCATTGCGTCAGACCTATAAAAAATGACTAAAAACAGTACAATCTTTTATTTCGATAAAATCTGTTTAAAAACTTAGTCTTTGCCACAAACTTCATTTTACTAATTCAGCTATATATTTGCAACCCGATGGTACAAAAAGATTGTTTGACATTGAGTGGAAAAGATAACAGGGAAGAAAAATATCAGAGTTTGTGGAAAAAACTTTGAAAACTTTTTAAAAATTTTTCAATTAGGCGAGACAAGTTCGTAATCTATGTAAATTAGACTATTTAAATAAAGCGTGTAAGTGAACTAGGTCGTTGCAGCCAATTGTAGTAGTTCTTAGATATTTAAAACTATCAATTCTGTTCGATCAAAATTCTAAGTTATAATATATATAAGGTCTTCGACATATTAATTAGGACATCAGAGTTTAAGGCAAAGACTCAATACCTTTGCGCGAACAATAAGCGTTAGTTCATACTCTGATTTTGTCCAAGTATATTTATTATTACCAGGGAGAACTGCTGGATAAAACATCTGGACTGTTTTCCTTCCATGAGAATAGTCTTGTAATTAGAAATGTTACAAAGGAAAGACAAGGTAAATCGATTTTGAAACAAATTGTTGACGCTTTTCGCCCCTTATATCTTGATAATATGGAATTCTTAGACTCTGTCCAAGAAAAGGTAAGACCAGAATTATATAAACAGTTTATTGCCATGTATCTTTCGGGTTCCACCAAGCGAAAATCGTCCATTAACCTTTCCTAAAATAAATTGAAGAAAGAACAACCAATTCCACCTTTTTTGCTTCAGGAGACTATAGCTGTAGTGCAACTAACTCGGAGGGAACAGGGTTCAGCAACATTATCAAGCTCCAGGTTCAATGTAAGTAAGATAAAAAAAAATCTCAGTCTTTATTTATAAAATTAACTTTCCAATATACATAATTTAAAGGTCATGTCTGTTAAATGGCAAAAAGTAGTTTGATCATATCAACCCTTTGACATTTCGAACTACGAATTCTGTTAGATAAACAGTTTAGGTTTGAAATTTGAACCGGCGGTAGGCAATTCAAATTCTTTAAATTTGAACCGGCGGTAGGCAGATCAAATTCTTTAAATTTGAACCGGCGGTAGGCAGTTCAAATTCTTTAAATTTGAACCGGCGGTAAGCAGTTCAAATTCTTTAAATTTTGTCCCAGGTTACAAAGATGTACGGATTAGATAATTTAAATGTGTTCCAAGAAATATTACTTTAAGTTACTAAAAGTGTAAAAAGATTCACTTTGGTTTGACGTGAACTGAGGTATTTAATGTAGCGTAAAATTCACTTTAATTTGACGTGAACTGAGGTATTTAAAGTGTGATGCAAATAATACACATTTATAGATAAAACCTAGAAAGACAGTAAAACAAAAAAAGTTTTAAAGAAATCTTAAAAGTTTGCTGAAATCTAGACAAATCTTGTCATAAAGAAAACAAAGTTTTCCAGAGATAGAAAATTTCCCCAGAATTATAAATATATAATTCGGAAACATCAGCAGTATTCATAATAGTGTATCTGATAATTTGTTCAAAATTCTATTTTTTTCAATTTCTTAAAAAATTTACATTCATGCACAGACAAAAAATTGAGTCCTGACCACATGCTCGGATTTTCTAATTCTTTGGGCTATTAATTCTACTAGATCAAATAATCTAAGTTGTAAATATCAAAGATGTACACCATCAGGTTGCAAAGATATAGGGATTAACAAATTAGTTTGTGGCGAAGACTCGATTTTTTGTTCAAATTCACGTTAGCTGTTCCTAGCAGTTTTTCCGTCATAAGACAAGATAAGATTAAGGAAAATGTTGAACCAGTGCAAACAATAAAGTCAGGACAACCATGTTTTAGTTTTGTATTTGTCAAGTTCAATCATTCAAATGCAAATGGGAAAACTTTAGAATCACTTAACTGGCTGGGTTTGGAATAAAACAAGAAAATCTGGAAAAAGAAATGATAAATTGTTTCCCTTTCCTACACAATACAAGACATGGTTGGATATCATTAATATAACAGTGAAATCTATTGCTAATCTATACTTATAAATCTTACAGATTTACACTACACTACACTACACTACACTACACTACACTACACTACACTACACTACACTACACTACACTACACTACACTACACTACACTACACTACACTACACTACACTACACTACACTACACTACACTACACTGCACTACACTACACTACACTACACTACACTACACTACACTACACTACACTACACTAAAATATTTTCATAATAATTGTTCTTATTTTCGATTGCTTTTTATATTGGCTTATGTGCAGCAGAAACAAGAAAGGAAGATGACAGAACGAATTTCCCTCAAATTATTAAAACTACATGGGAATTGTATGTTTTCAAAAATGTTAACTAGTACACCCAAACGATCACATAAAAATATTTTAGATTCTTTTAGAGGCGTAAACAGTCCACCCACCCTGGTTCAGTACAAATCTAAGCATGGTTTTCTTGGGCTGCCCCCAACGGGAAATTAAAGGCCCCCCTTCATAAATTCCTGTAAAAGCTCCCTGAAGTTGTATTGAAATCCTTCATGCTATTCATTGAAATGAGAAATGAAAACCTGAGAAGCAACTCATAGAAAAATGCGCAAAGTAGCTTAATCTAAACTTAATTGTTTCTTATTTATAATCTAAAAATGATTTCTTGTATTTTCCAAAAAAAAAACAATATATATTCGTTAGTTTCTTTAAAAATAAGGTAGAATTATTATCTAAAAACATGAATGTGTTGAATAATGAAAAATGTTGTGAGTACAAAGTAAGTATACATGTAAAACAATGAAAAGGGTGGGGTTTACTAACATTCGCACGTGTGCCAATTACTATGCAAATTTTGCATCAATGAAAGGGACTGTGCGCATAATTGCAATTCACAACGGTACCCTTGAAACCTTCATCTGATCAATAATATTGAGATAACGTCGATTTTTTAGGTTTAATAATTCTTATATGTGCAAGTCACTTTTTAAGGGAAATCAAAATTGAAAATAATTAGTTTTCAAAATTATTAACTCTTTATTCTTGATCAGACAAAGCTTTGAAGGGTACCATTGTAAATTAGGTAATGTTATCTTTGCACGGAGGGCCAAGTTGGAAATAACGCTTACAGTCCCTTTAACTGCATCTATAATACAGTCCCTTTAACTGCTTCTATAATACAGTCCCTTTAACTGCATCTATAATACAGTCCCTTTAACTGCATCTATAATACAGTCCCTTTAACTGCATCTATAATACAGTCCCTTTAACTGCATCTATAATACATTCATGAACGGTTTAGAGCTGAACCAGACTGTTTGGATCCAACAGTGTCTAATCTTTTATCTAATCATGAATACGGAACTACAGGGTGTCCCACGAAACATGATTGTTGGCAAATGGTTTTGAATGACTTCTGTCATATATTATATTAGATATTAATGACTTTTTGAAGATTATTTCGTTAGCAAAATCTTTTACTCAAATATATTTTACTTTGAAATCAATTTTACTATAAAATAACTGCCATGGTGTATTTTTAATTAATGATAATTATTCTCTTTTGTAATAAATAACTTTACAAATAATGGAAGAATAGATTTAAAACTATTCACCAACTGTCATGTTTCGTGGGACACCCTGTATATTAACATTAATTCAAATATTCGAATTCAGTTATGCCTTCAATAGGCTTAAAAAAAGAAAATTTGTACCATATATATAAATCCCGATCACCCCCAACCCCATACCATCCTACTAGATTATCATCATTCTGTCTGGCTCCGTCAAACTCAAGGTCAATCTTTATCATGATTCTAAATTTTTATCAAGATCTTGATTTTTATTATGATCTTAAATTTGATCAAGATCTTGATTTTTATTACATTTACAACTATCTAAAACGTCATATCATTATCTTGTTCTTTTTTGACATTGAATATCACTTTTTATTATGCATTAAAATTTTTTATCATGGTTTTATAGATTTTGTTTGACGATTACCAATTCTCACCAATTTGAAATACTTTAGTTCATGAATTTTTAATTTAGGATTCACAAAATTGTCCTTACGCACATATTGATCGAGATCATACAATGTGTGCGTACGCTCCCCTCATGTGTACTGGACGGAAAATGTTGCGTAAGTTTACATAAAATAATAAAAAAAAACAAGGATTTAATGCTAGGAAAGTTATTTCAGAAGTGTACACATCTTTTGTACTGCAGTGTACTGTCACTGGGCGGTAATGTAAACACAAGACGGATGTCAGAGCCTGACATGGGATCCATCTTTCACACATAAAATCAATGAAATATTCTGGTCATAGGAAACTATTATGTGAATCATCATAATTATCAAAATTGAATGCTTTTAACCTCCTCGAACACCAGACGAATACTGGTGCATCTATTCTTGTTTACAAATTCCGCCCAGAGAGAACTGGTTTCAATATGTACGCAGAGTATGCACACCTGCAATCAACTATCCTTGCATGACAACATTGGAAAAACCCAGCTTTTGATTTAAGTCTTGGTCATTGTTTTGATTCAAGTTATGATAAATTGTATTCAATCTTGATTTTAAACTAAATTATCACTGAAAATGTGCAGTTATTGACTGTATAGTGTATATACCTTTTCTGTTTATGATCAATTCTTTTTTTATCAGATCATAAAAAAAAAATTTTTGTTTGTTTCAAATTGATATATAAATAATATTTGGATTTCTATGAATGATTTATTTTTATTTATGGCATATGTAACTTATTGAACCTTCCCCCTCCCACCCTTTTATTCTGTATCCAAGATCTATGCCATTTGCAAATTTCTTTTGATACCTTTGCTATTTATCATCTGTAAACTGTTCCATGTGATGTGTGGAAAGAAGGGATTAAGATTGTATCAGGATTGAGTTATGACATGACACATGGAAACTTAAAATGTATAGAAGGCATAAAGCTAGGAATTAGCTGAACCTATTCATGCTATAGATCAGAGTTAGGGACTTGAAGTGGAGGGGGGAGTCTCTTTAGAAAGAGGGCCTTTTTAACATTTTCATTTTTTTTAAAGATTATTATAGTAGAAGTAGCAATACTTAGTAAACGCTAGGAAGTGGTGGACTAAACTGTAAACTCTAACCAACAAATGGTTATAGGTAGTGGTGGAATAAACTGTAAACTCTAACTAATAAATGGCTAAGTAGTGGTGGACTAAACTGTAAACTCTAACAATAATATGTTAGGCAGTGGTGGACTAAACTGTAAACTCTAACTAATATTTAGCAAGGTAGTGGTGGACTAAACTGTAAACTCTAACTAATATATAGTTAGGTATGGTAGACTAAACTGTAAACTCTAACAATAATATGTTAGGCAGTGGTGGACTAAACTGTAACTCTAACTAATATATAGCTAGGTAGTGGTGGACTCAACTGTAAACTCTAACTAATATATAGTTAGGTATGGTAGACTAAACTGTAAACTCTAACAATAATGTGTTAGGCAGTGGTGGAAAAAACTGTAAACTCTAACTAATATATAGCTAGGTAGTGGTGGACTAAACTGTAAACTCTACCTAAAATATTGCTAGGTAGTGGTGGACAAAACTGTAAACTCTAACTAATATATAGCTAGGTAGTGGTGGACTAAACTGTAAACTCTACCTAAAATATTGCTAGGTAGTGGTGGACAAAACTGTAAACTCTAACTAAAATATTGCTAGGTAGTGGTGGACTAAACTGTAAACTCTAAATAATATATAGTTAGGTAGTGGTGGACTAAACTGTAAACTCTAACAAATATATAGCTAGGGACTAAACAGTAAACTCTAACTAATATATAGTTAGGTAGTGGTGGACTATACTGTAAACTCTAACTAATATATAGCTAGGTAGTGGTGGACTAAACTGTCTTGAAAAGGAAATTATTCTTGAAGAGCATAATATGGTTAGACAGCTTCTAGCGAATGGAAAGGTAAATAATTCAAGTAAAAAATAAATCTTAAGTAAATTTTATGCAAATTGAATTAGCATGAGCTAGGGTTTCCAGCAAAGAGGGTAAATCATTTTGCAAATTATTATTTTTCGCCAAAAATTTCGCATTTTTTTGCATTTTGCGAAAATGTTCGTTTTTATCGCAAAATTACGTTTCAAGCTCTCTGGCGAGAAAGGCAAATTTTCGTAAAATAAGAAATGCGAAAATTTCGCGGAAAAAACGTGCAAATTTCTCAAAAAACGCAAAAATGTGGGGGACCATATTTTGCAAAAAAAAAAATACGGATGAAAAATTATTAATTATTATATAATAAACTTCTAATGTTGAGCTCTCAGAGCAGAGACTTCCACAAGTATTTTGCTCAATTGATTGTTGCAGCTATGGTTTTCGCGGAATTTTTTCCCGCGAAATTATTTTTCACAAAATTTCGCAAAAAGTATTTTCACGATATTTCGCATCGTTTTCGCATTATTCGCTTAAATTATTTTTGCAAAAAAATGCGAAATTTTGCGAATAAGTTTGCCAAAGGCGAACAAAAATTTTCGCATTTTTTCGCGAAAGCTCTCGTTTGCTGGAAACCCTATGAATTGAGATAAGCATAACATTAATCCTAAACATGTATTATTTGAAAGAATCAAAAATCCTCTAAGAATTCTAAAAATATTTAAAAAAAATATTGACTTATTTTTAAGAGTCAGGTACGTTCTCTTAAAAATTCTGAAAGTGTTTTCAAAATCATTTGATGAAAATCAATAACGTTTTTCTATATTTTTTTTAATTACTCAAGCTTTTATTACTTCAGGTGCACAGTCAACCTGCCGCTCTTAATATGCGCGTTATGATTTGGGACGATGAACTTGCACAGGAAGGATCAACTAAGTCAAAGTACAAAATTTCTTTCTGAAGAAATTGAAAAAATTATACATAATCTATACTTTGTCCTTAAAGAAAAACTCCTAGAGGAAAACTACATTTTTTTGTCTTTTAAGAGTTTATATATACAACTAGGGTTTTAGGGTGCTTTGTGCCTCTTTTCCTATTAACAATTTTAGCTTTTAACTGCTGCTCTGGAAGTCGCCATTTTATCGTTTTCAAATGTTCGAAGTTTTCTCTGTTTAAATCGGCGCATTTTCAAAAAAGATAAATGTTTATATTTTTCCGGACAAATTGTTCAACTTTGCCGGAGCATAAACCCTCCCCAGGGTCATGGAAGTTGCCACAAACAATAGGGCCTGAGCTGAAAACTTTAGAATGGGATATTCTTAATCCCGATCGGTTAACTAATCTGGAGATTAGTTACAAGAGGAGAACAAGCATTATTTAATCTGGTGATTAAGAAAAAGAGGAGATCAAGCATTTTGATATCCACAATTCTAAAGTTTTCAGCTCTGGTTGGTTAAGCCGTGTTGACGTTTTTTAGATACAGATTGGCAAGCTCACTATTTGTATAAATTATTTATTATTAATTATATTTTCAAGCCGCCATGTTCAAATTTCACTTAAATGCACAACAATTTTTGCGGATTTTTCTGGTTTAATTCGTGGATTTTCAAAAATTGAGAAACAACATTCCTTCCACAATATTGATCAGACAAAGGCACATTGATTGCATTTGTGAATTGTGAATTAGCCATGCTGCTCTTTCAATCAAGGGTTTCTTAAAATTACAACATTAGCCTTTTTAATTCTTAGATTAAACTTGAGCTGCCTTTATCTTAGTTATGGAAGATTTCATAAAACAGAATAATTAAGTTGACCCTTTGTCTCAGGTAGCTCAACGTTGGGCTGATCAGTGTATGCCAGGTCATGACCATAGCAGAAATGTAGGTAAAAAAAAGAAATACAAGGATAGAAAACAAAAATAATATTAATAGTAATATTAATAATAATAATAATAAGAAGAAGAATTATTATGGCAATATAACGACTCTAGATAGATATGCTGTTGGTCAGAATGTCGCGACAACTTGGAATTTCGACCAAGAATCGCTGACAAAGGACAGTCCAGAGTTTAAACGACACATAAGAGCATGGTTTGACGAGGTATGATTTGATTGGACTTTTTGTAGGTTATTTCAGGCATTTTATTTAAGAAAAACTATATTTTTTTTAAATTCTTAAAATATATTTAAAGAATTATTTTTCAGGTTGTAAAATTTGGCTTCAAGACAAGAAGTATAAATCCGTTCCAGTTTCGGATGGAAACAGGTCATTATACACAGGTGGGTAGACTTGTTAGTCATTGTATTGGTTTTTCATTGTTTGATTATTTGATTATTGGTTAAATGGTTAGATGGTTGTATGGTTGGTTGTTTGGATGATTGGTAGGTTGGTTGGGTGGTTGGTTTGTTGGTTTGATGATTTTTGGATGTGTGTGTTGATTGGTTGATTGGTTTGGTTAGATGGTTTAATAAATTTTTTTGGTTGGTTAGTTGGTTTGACACATTTTCGGTAGGTTGGTTGGTTGGATGGTTCGTTGGTAGATTAGTTTGTTATTTGGTTGATTGTTTACTTTATTGCTTGGTTGGTTTGTTGGTTAGCTGTTTGGTTGTTCATTGTTGGTTGGTTGGTTTGTTGGTTGGTTGGTTGATTGTTTGGAGGGTTAGTTGATTGGTTGGTTCCTTGATAGGTTGGTTGTTTGGTTGGTTGTTTGGAGGGTTGGTTGGTTGGTTGGTCGTCTGGTTAAATGGTTTGTTGGTTGGTTGGTTTTTGTCGGTTGGTTTGTTGGTTGGTTGATTAGTAGGTTGTTTTGTTGGTTGGTTGATGTAGAGGTTGATTGGTCGATTGTATAAATCTGATCTTGTATTTTTATTTGGTTTGGCAAATTGTTGGTTATTTATTTAAACAATGAGATTGCCTTTAATATTAAAAGGATATGATGTCTTCCTATTTAGACTATTTACAATTTTAACTTTTTGATGAATTTTCTAAATTATGAATGGTTTAGCTAGCCTGGGCTGAATCCTACATGGTGGGGTGTGGATATTCTTATTATAAGGTATTTAAAGATATTTATTTTTATAATTCTAAAAATTAAACATATCTGGAGATTATTCTTTAAACGTAGTAAAAATTCAAACATTGTAAATTATTTATGGCCAAGAAACGAGTTTAAACTACAGGGTGTCCCAATAAACATGGGAATTCAGTGACACACATTCGATATCGCCTTTGTTATGAATTTGCCTTCGATTTCAAAAGGCATAATATTATCATGTATGCTAGAGTTTGTCTTATGAAAAAGGGTAAAAGACTGTAAAGATGTGTTTATACTGTCTCCGTAAGATGACCAGTGAAGACGGACAGGTTTATTCTGTTTGTATACTGTAATTTTCTTGTTTTACTAAGTACAACCGTATGCAGTCAAAACATAAACAAACAAATTGTAAATATAGCCGAAGAAAATCGTCCGTCAGTGAATTCCCATGTTTATTGGGACACCCTGTAGAAATAGCAGCTTATGAAGTTATGAAGTTATCAATGCAGACAAAAAGTTTCATCCATGATGGGCTAACTACACGTGCATTGTACAGTACCAATCTAACTGCACGTGCATTGTACAGTACAAATCTAACTACACGTGCATTTTACAGTACAAATCTAACTACACGTGCATTGTACAGTACAATTCTAACTACACGTGCATTGTACAGAACAAATCTAACAGCACGTGCATTGTACAGTAAAAATCTAACTACACGTGCATTGTACAGTACAAATCTAACTGCACGTGCATTGTACAGTACAAATCTAACTGCACGTACATTGTACAGTACCAATCTAACTACAATTGCATTTTACAGTACCAATCTAACTACACCTGCATTGTACAGTACAAATCTAACTACACGTGCATTGTAAAGTACAAATCTAACTACACGTGCATTGTACAGTACAAATCTAACTACACGTGCATTGTACAGTACAAATCTAACTGCTCGTGCATTGTACAGTACAAATCTAACTACACGTGCATTGTACAGTACAAATCTAACTGCACGTGCATTGTACAGTACAAATCTAACTACACGTGCATTGTACAGTACAAATCTAACTGCACGTGCATTGTACAGTACAAATCTAACAACACGTGCATTGTACAGTACAAATCTAACTGCACGTGCATTGTACACAAAGAGAATAGAATATATAGAGAGGAATTAAAAGAATCTCTCGGTATGAATTTTTTCAGTCCCTTTCAGCCTGAAAGGGAGTTCAAAGTGTACAAATCATGTAAATGTTCACAAATTATATGCAATAGAGTACATTAATACAGTATGTTCCCTAGACTATCCATTGCAATTTCGAATTTTTTAAACTGTTAAATGAACTTTATAATGAATTAGGTGAATAAAAAACATCATTTGATTTATAGTTATAACGGAAAATCATCGTTTGTAAAGTGGAAGGCATAGAGTCTATGTGAAATGATCATTGGTCAATTATGAAACCAGCCTATTTCATAATTTGGTTTTCTTTTAACAATTATTTTAGATTTTCTATAAAATCTTATTCCAGGGCCCAACAGGTTATATAGCATAAATATGTGAAGTACACCTGCAGGATGGAAACAGTACAACAAAATGGTCGTTTTACACTTTTTTCTAGTAAATTCTTCTCTATATATTCTATTCTCTATGACTATACATTACCAATCTAACTGCACGTGCATTGTACAGTACACATCTAACTGCACGTGCATTGTACAGTACAAATCACAATTACTGTCCACGTCATTTCAAATGTCCCTCTCCATGTTAATAGTTTCCCATGTCCGATACAGAACAGTACCTTTCATACCTTTGTTTGATTCACATCAGTACCTTTCAAACCTTTGTTTTATTCACAACAGTATCTTTTAAACCTTTGTTCGATTCACAAAAGTACCTTTTAAACCTTTGTTTGATTCACAACAGTACCTTTCAAACCTTTCATCGATTCACAACAGTACCATGTAAACCTTTGTTTGATTCACAACAGTACCTTTCAAACCTTTGTTTGATTCACAACAGTACCTTACAAATCTTTGTTGGATTCACAACAGTACCTTTCAAACCTTTGTTTGATTCACAACAGTACCTTTTAAACCTTTGTTTGATTCACAACTGTACCTTTCAAACCTTTGTTTGATTCACATCAGTACCTTTTAAACCTTTGTTCGATTCACAACAGTACCTTTTAAACCTTTGTTCGACTCACATCAATACCTTTCAAACCTTTGTCCGATACACATCGGTACCTTTCAAACCTTTGTTTGATTCACAACATTACCTTTCAATCCTTTGTTCGATTCACAACAGTACCTTTTAAACCTTTGTTTGATTCACATCATCACCTTTCAAACCTTTTTCGATTCACATCAGTACCTTTTAAACCTTTGTTCGATTCACATCAGTACCTTTCAAACCTTTGTTTGATTCACATCAGTACCTTTCAAACATTTGTTCAATTCACATCACTACCTTTCAAACCTTTGTTCGATTCACATCAGTACCTTGCAAACCTTTGTTCGTTTCACATCAGTACCTTTCAAACCTTTGTTCGATTCACAACAATGCCCTTCAAACCTTTGTTCGATTTACATCAGTGCCTTTCAAACCTTTGTTCGAGTAAAACTGACAAAGAAATAATTTTCTATTGTCAAGCTATGAAATACTTAGACGTTACTCAGATATAAAGGTACTGTTGTGAATCAGACATTGAACTCTTTAAATGGACGCTCACTTGAAAGTACATGATATAGATCTTTAAAAGGACACTAAGCGAGGGTTTAGCAAGTTGTATGTGTGTAACTATGGACCTGGAGGAAACCTTGTTGGTAAACCTATGTACAAGGTCGGGTTTCCAGGTAATGATTTTACACTTGGGTTCAATGGAAATCTGAAAACTTAGATTTTTAAGAAATATACCTCCTTTTAGGGGCAATGTATAAATGATTTGCAATTTATATTTTCATTGCAAATTTTGGTATTTTCTGAGAGTAAATGTTTCCCCCCCCCCTTCTTCCTACAATTGGTTTGCAACCTTTCAAGACTGGTTGGGTTGTGGGTCCCGAGAAGTTGTTAACGTACAAATCTCTAAAATTTTAAGTCTCAGCTTAGTTTTTTTTTAACTTATTTTAATTAAAAAAGGGTAGACCACTTTTAAAAATCCCATACGATTTAGGTCATTATAAACTTTAAAAGTAGTTTTTTTGTCGTTAACAATTTCCATGTGAGTCTAAGCATTTCCTAAAGTAAGACGACCTTTTCTTCACTCGACCTGCTAAACATAGAATGTCTGCTGTACAGTTCTCAATACATGTGATGAATCCAGGTATGGTTTCCTGTTCTGAGGAGGACTCGGAGAATATGAAACCGTCCTCAAGATATGTAGGACTATGTGGTAAGCATTGATCTAATTATACAGGGGTGTCCTAACAACAATAATTAGAATCCGGAAAGAAGAGAACCCACCCAAGTAGGGTTCGACTCACACCAGTTTTGTCTTCCGGAAAAATGTCTGTACTTTTATTTGACAATCCATTTTTGATAGAAAATTTGTATACAGGGTGTCCCACAAACCATGACAGTTATTGAATAGTTTAAAATGTCTTCTTCCATAAATAATTAAGTTGTTTGATACTAAAGACTGAGAATTATAAAAAATATTATATGACAATCATATTTTAGCGAAAATGAATCATTGGATAAAAAGTAGTTAAAGAATACAGTCAGAACCCATAAAACAGTTTAATAGGAATTTTTATTAGTAGCTTAAATATTCATTTGACCATTTAATATCATACAGGGTGTCCCACGAACCATGCCAGTTGGTAAATGGTTTAGAATGTCTTCTTCCATAATTTGTTAAGTTGTTTAATACCAAAGACAATAATACAAATATTATATAGGAGTCATATAGTAATATTAACTTTAAAGTAAAATATATTTAAACAAAAGATTTTTTAAACTAAATTAACTGCAAACACCCTTCAATATCCAATACATTGTATGTAAGACGATATTCAAAACTATTTAGAATTAAAAACTTGATTAAGAATTATTTAATTTCTAGAGGTGAATGGAGCTAGATATGTGGAGCATATGTGTCAGGATATTAAAGCTCCATCCTTGGTGGAGACACCTCCATTCTTACATCTTCCCACCCCTCGGCCAGAGCAATCAATCTTTCAAGAGATGATGGTAATCTGACACATTTAATTCACATCTGTTGAATATTGTTGTATGAAACATTTAACCACCGTTGTATTGTGGACACACTTGATTACAATGTTTGTTGAATTATTGTAGGACACATTTGATTACAATGTTTGTTGAATTATTTCAGGACACATTTGATTACAATGTTTGTTGAACTATTGTAGGACACATTTGATTACAATGTTTGTTGAATTATTGTAGGACACATTTGATTACAATGTTTGTTGAATTATTGTAGAACACATTTATTTCCCATATTTGTTAAAAATTATTGTAGGACACATTTGGTTAACATGCTAATTAAAAATTATTGTAGGACACATGTGGTTAACATGCTAATTAAAAATTATTGTTGGACACATGTTGTTAACATGCTAATTAAAAATTATTGTAGGACACATTTAATTCTCATTTAAATTGAAACTTATTGTAGACTTCAATTTTCACACCTTTCCTTATTATGTGTTTTCGATTACATAAAACTAGAATTATACAAAATTTACGATAAAAATCTATATTTTTTAGGGAAACAATGCAATCAGCGATTTAGCAATGACTTCTTCCAACTTCCTGATGAATGGTGTAAAGACGACAATGCACTTTGCGGATATGGGAGTAAAGACGACAATGCACTTCGCGGATATGGGTGTAAAGACGACAATGCACTTCGCGGATATGGGTGTAAAGACGACAATTGACTTGGCTAATCTTCTAAATCCACTTCTATGGGGATAAAGGTGAAGATTAAAAACGTTTTTTAATTTTTACATTCTTTATTTTTTTTTTCAATTTTGGTCTTTCTTTATCTTGTTTATTTGTTATCTTTTTATGTCTTTTTTATTCAATATTATTTTGAGGGTGTTCCAGTTCGGGTCGTCTTTGTTAAAAAAGTATCACGAATATAAAGGCTTTTCAGAAGGCACACCAAAATTGTGTTGGTTAAATTTTTAATACAAATTTTGTCAGTAAAGATAGTTAGCTATAATCAAAGACGATTTTTTAGTTTTGTTCAGTTGTCATGGTTTATGGGAACCTCTGTATTTGTATGAAATTCCACGAAGTAAACAGAATATTAATTCTAAATATTCTCTGCAAAGCATTTTAATTTTACTAACTTTGCTGCAAACTATTGCAAATGCGAACAATTTGAAGCTAGACGAGTTATTTTGTATAAATTATTTCATTCTGAGCCAAATCTGACAAGTCTGGTAAATAATTTAGATATTCATGACAGTATTATTTGTTATTCATTATTTACCGCAAAACGTTGATAAAATTCTAAGAGAAACTTTCTCAAACATATCTAAAGGGAGAGTATAAATACAAGAAAGGACTAGATGTCGTCATTTTAAGATCTATGTGTGTTTTGTTCACAATAACCCTGAGGCAGAACCCCAAAGGAGTTAAACATAGTCTGCATAGAACAGGCTCTCTCTCTGTCTTTGTAATTCTACAGAGAGAGAGCTTGTTCTAAGCTAACTACGCATAACTTCTTTGGGCTTCTGCCTTAGGGTTATTGTGAACGAAAAACACATAAATATTGAAAAGACGCTATCTAGTATCCTTTCTGCTATTTTAATTAATCCATAGTTTTAACGATTGCAAAGCATTTAATACACTCCAGCAGTATGTCCTTTAGCGCCTGGTCCAATCAGGGATCAGTCATGTGTTTGTTGTCTTTTCTAAACCAATAGAAATAGTATTTCGGTCGGTAACATCTATCTTTCTATCTATCTCATTATCCAATTAGAGATATGAATCCTTCAATCGGCGCTAACAAAAAATGGAAATATTTACTTCTACTGAAACTATAGTGAATATGGTATTGATATACGAAAATGTCATCAATCCACAATCTATTTGTGAACTAACTCTAAGTTGAGGAGATTTCTTAATTTCTGTGTGTTTTTGTTGAGATGTTGAATTCTCCAGCTTTGATTTTTTTAATTTTATTTCTTCAGAAATTGAGACAAATGACTATCTATATATTTGGTTTGGTTGCTTGGTCCGGAAGTGGACGAAGACAATCTAGATCCTCCACAGTACTTTCAACAACAATTTTTTTTAAATAGTGAAAACAAAACCCATCAAAAGTTTTAGAATTTACAAAAGAATAAACCTTATTTACTCGTGCTTATATACGAAAACTGTTTTAGAAAATATATTTATACTTAAATTGATTCATTTTGGAGAGAAATTTTCTTTACATTTTGCAAGAAAACTTGTTGCTATTTATTTCTTTTATTTAAAATTGTTTCTTTAAAATTTACAATATTGTCCAAACCATAGCTTAATGACAATACAGATAGAACACTGAATGTTTTCAAGATTTAGGGGTTTTTTTTCACAAGAAGAAGTTACGAGTATGCAGTGAGAGAGCATTCAAGCAGGTCCTTTGGGCCTCTACCTCAGGGTTATTGTGAACGATAAACCCCTAAATATTGCAAAGACGACATTCAGTGTTCTATCTGTATTGTATTTAATCTATTGTCCAAATATATTCAGCCAACTGTGTACATTTGTTAAAAACATTTTCTTTTCTAGAATTAAATTTTTTTTCGATTTTCTCAGAACTTGAAGAAAAACTTAAAAACATTGAGAACGCGGAAACTGAGGAATAGGAGATCACAATTTAGCAATAATAAAGTGTATTTGATGTTGTTACAAAGCATATAGTTTTCTAATGTTTTATCCAATCACTTATTAACTAAAATGGGCTTCTTTACTAAATGTTTCCTTGCTGATTGTTTCCTTACTAAATGCTCCTTACTAAACATTTCCTTACTGAACGTTTCCTCTCTAACTGTTCCTTAATAAATGTTTCCTTTTTGAACGGTTCCTTAATAAATGCATCCCGACTGAACGTTTCCTTATTGAATGTTTCCTTCCTGAATGTTTCCTTACTGAACGTTATCTTACTAATTGTTTCCTTTCAAACGTTTCCTTACTGAAATTTTTTCTTACTGAACTTTTCCTTGCTAAACGTTTCCTTACTGAACTTTTCCTTACTGAATTTTTCTTACTGAACTTTTCCTTACTAAACTTTTTTCTTACTGAACTTTTCCTTACTAAACGTTTCCTTACTGAACTTTCCTTACTGAACTTTTCCTTACTGAATTTTTCTTACTGAACTTTTCCTTACTAAACTTTTTTCTTACTGAACTTTTCCTTACTAAACGTTTCCTTACTGAACTTTTCCTTACTGAACTTTTCTTACTGAACGCTTCCTTACTAAATGTTTCTTTACTAAACATTTCCTTACTAACTGTTCCTTACTGAATGTTTTCTTTTTTAACGGTTCCAATAAACCCATCCTTACTGAACGTTTCCTTACTGAATGTTTCCTTCCTGAATGTTTCTTTACTGAACGTTTCCTTACTAAACGTTTCCTTACTGAACTTTTCCATACTGATTGTTTTCATACTAAATGTTTCTTTACTAAACATTTCCTTACTGAAAGTTTCCTCACTATCTGTTCCTTACTGAATGTTTCCTTTTTGAACGGTTCCAATAAACCCATCCTTACTGAACGTTTCCTTATTGAATGTTTCCTTCCTGAATGTTTCCTTACTGAACGTTTCCTTACTAAACGTTTCCTTATTAAACATTTCCTTACTGAATGTTTCTTTACTGAATGTTTCCTTACTGAATGTTTCTTTACTGAATGTTTCCATACTGAACGTTTCCTTTATAAATGTTTTTTATTGAACGTTTCCTTTCTGAATGTTTCCTTACTGAACGTTTTCATACTACACGTTTCCATACTGAACTTTTTCATACTGAACGTTTCCTTGTTGAACGTTGCCTTACTGAACAATTCCATGCTGACCTTTTTTCTTTCAAAATGTTTCCTTACTGAACGTTTCCTTGCTGAACGTTACCTTACTGAATTTTCCCATACTGAACGTTTTCTAACTAAACATTTGATTAACAATCGAATGTTTGCTTGCTAAATGTTTTCTTACTGAATATTTCCTTACTGAAAGTTAACTTAATGAATGTTTCTTTACTGAACATTTTTTAACTGAATGTTTCCTTACTGAACATTTTCATATCAAATGTTCCCTTACTGAAGGTTATCTACTGAATGTTTCCTTACACAACGTTTCCTTACTAAATGTTTCCATACTGAACATTTACTTCTTGTACGTTTCCTTACTGAACGTTTCCTTCCTTAATGTTTCCTTACTGAGCGTTGTTTACTAAACGTTTTCTTACTGAACGTTTCCTAACTGAAAGATTCATGACTGAATGTTTCCTGACTGAATGTTTCCTTACGGAATGTTTCCTTACTGGAAGTTTCCTTACTGAATGTTTCCTTACTGAATGTTTCCTTACTAAACTTTTTCTTACTAAATGTTTCATCACTGAATGTTTCCTTACTGAATGTTTCCTTACTGAATGTTTCCTTACTGCATGTTTCCTTACTGAACGTTTCCTTACTGAATGTTTCCTTACTGAATGCTTCTTTACTGAATGTTCCCTACTGAATGTTTCCTTACTGAATGTTTCCTTACTGAATGTTTCCTTACTGGATGTTTCCTTACTGAACGTTTCCTTACTGTACGTTTCCTTGATGAATGTTTCCTTTCTGAATTTTCCAATACTGAACGTTTTCTAATTAAAGATTTAATAGCGAATGTTTGCTTGCTGAATGTTTCCTTACTGAATGTTTCCTTACTGAATGTTTCCTTACTGAACGTTTCCTTACTGAATGTTTCCTTACTGAACATTTCCTTACTAAACGTTTCCTAACTGAAAGATTCCAGGCGGAATGTTTCCTACCGGAATAATTCCTTATTGAACGTTTCCTTACTGAATGTTTCCTTTCTGAATGTTTCCTTACTGAATGTTTCCTTATTGAATGTTTCCTTTCTGGATGTTTCCTTACTGAATGTTTCCTTACTGAATGTTTCCTTACTGAATGTTTCCATACTAAACGTTTTTGTGCTGCATATTTTCTTACCGAATGTTACATCACAGAACGTTTCCTACACAAAAGGTTTCCTGCCACAAAACGTTTCCTGACACAAAACGTTTCCTGCCACAAAACATTTCCTGTCACAAAACTTTTTCTGCTATTAAACGTTTCCTGCAACAAAATGTTTACTGCTACAAAACGTTTCCGGCTATAAAAGGTATCCAAAATTTGTATTTTATTTGAAATGAAACATTTCTTAATGTTGAAGATCTCATATCACTGTGCCAGAATGTGTATTCCGTGCCTCTTCAGTTTTACATGGAGAGTGTGGTGGCCTTTAAGAATGGAGTTTGTTTCGTTATGATTTTAAACACAGGAATAGTCATTTCTGTTCAATTGATTTTCAAACTATTTGTTTTTTTTTGATGAAAGGATATCTAAAGGAATTATTTATTATAGGAAACGTAAGGAAACGTTTTGTGTAGAAAACGTTCAGTAAGAAAACGTTCTGTAACAAAACGTTTTGTATGTGCTTTGGGAAAAAGTAATCTTGTAAATCAATTTCTACTCCTACTGGCCGATTTTCAAGATTTTTCGTCTAAATTTTGATAATTTTGTTGTTGTTGAAATTTTAGTGAATAAAAAGTATAATTTGGATAACATTGACCTGTACTCGTAGAAGAATAAACTGTCAGCATATACATAATATAAATTACAATATACATTTATATATATTATTATACTCATTATCAATTTAAAAGATTTATGTTATGCTATCATTTTTCTAATCTGTGACAGCGAATTGAAACCTGACGGGTTAAATTACAAACGAGAACACTTTAAGGTTGAGAATTTGACGGAAAAAAAAGTTAATTATCTTTCTCCATCCTCATAATCTAATTAAGAGCTATAAGTTTACAATAGTAGTTATTCTTTTATTAACATCAATTAACTAATTTATTTTGCTCAAATGAATCCAATAAAACATTTAATTTTCATTTTGTATGGATTACTGGATTACAAATTACTAGTCACTAAACCAGATTTCATGGGAAATATAAAACTTTAATGTCCCGGGTTGTGTACAGGCGGTTTCAAAAAACATAATTCTATTTTCCCGGGTTGTGTACAGGCGGTTTCAACAAACATAACTTTATTGTCCCGGGTTGTGTACAGGGGGTTTCAACAAACATAACTTTATTGTCCCGGGTTGTGTACAGAGGGTTTCAACAAACATAAAGCATAAACAAACTGAAAAAATATGCTCATCATTATACGTAATTAATACTAGTTGGCAAAACTTTTTGAGGATGCACTTATTAAAGCCTATTGTGCACCAGAGACTTAGGAGGAATGGGGATTGGGGACACCAACTGAGAAAGCACATAGAGAATCCACATAGAGAATACACATAGAGAATACACATTGAGAATCCACATAGAGAATACACATAAGAATGCATATTGAGAATACATATTGAGAATATACATTGAGAATACACATTGAGAATACACATTGAGAATACACATCGAAAATACACATAAGAATGCACATTGAGAATCCACATTGAGAATACACATTGAAAATGCACATAAGAATGCACATTGAGAATATACATTGAGAATGCACATTGCGAATGCACATTGCGAATGCACATGAGAATGCACATTGAGAATACACATTGAGAATACACATACGAATGCACATTGAGAATACACATACGAATACATATTGAGAATACACATTGAGAATACACATAAGAATACACATTGAGAATACACATTGAGAATACACATTGAGAATGCACACAAGAATGGACATTGAGAATACACATTCAGCATACACATTGACAATGCACTTTGAGAATACAAATTATAAATGCACTAACAAACTGACGATACAAGAGTATAATAAAATCAACCTTCCTGATTTAAATTCTAATTTCAGATTGACAGGCTGAGATGAATATTCCCAAAAATATGAAGATCGTGTTCTATAGACAAAAAATTAAATGTTATCTATAAACGTCGTTCTTTTCCAATTTGTAATTGATGCCATCTTTTGTTTAATTTAATAATACTATCTAATTTTTTCTTTATTTATTCAATACTCAATTTATCATTTTATAATAAATTATAAAGCGTTAGTATTGACCATTTGTTTAAATATGAAAGGTCTGCGACATTGGGTTGCAAAGATACAGAAATTTAGAGTTTGCAGAAAAGACTTATTTCATTTATAAATCATAACAAAGATTGCATTTATAAAAGTTGAGGATTTATGTATGTAAACAGAATACAGATATACAGTTTATTACAATGCTGTAAATTATATGTGTGTTTGAAGCAGCAGCTAGATAAAAGTGTGCAGAGATTCAATAAAGGCTAGAATCAAAGAGAATAGAATATATATCAGAGTGGAATTTAATAGAAAAAAGTGTAAAACGGCCATTTTGTTGTACTGTTTCCATACTGCAGGTGTATGATCATTTCACATAGACTCTATGCCTTTCACTTTACAAACGATGATTTTCCGTTATAACTATAAATCAAATGATGTTTTTTATTCACCTAATTCATTTTATAAAGTTTATTTAACAGCTTTATAAATGAATAGTCTAGGGAACATACTGTATAAATGTACTCTACTGCATATAATTTGTGAACATTTACATGATTTGTACACTTTGAACTCCCTTTCAGGCTGAAAGGGGCTTTCAAAATTCATACCGAAGGTTTTTAAATTCCACTCTAATATATATTCTATTCTCTTTGGCTAGAAAATCCGATATTTTCTACAACATGAATTGTGTATACCTGGAGTACACGCCTAATAAGCAGACATCTATATAAATTCAGAAATATTTAAGGAATTTACTAGAAAAAAGTGTAAAACGGCCATTTTGTTGTACTGTTTCCATACTGCAGGTGTATGATCATTTCACATAGACTCTATGCCTTTCACTTTACAAACGATGATTTTCCGTTATAACTATAAATCAAATGATGTTTTTTATTCACCTAATTCATTTTATAAAGTTTATTTAACAGCTTTAAAAATTTCGAAATTGAAATGTTTAGTCTAGGGATCATACTGTATTAATGTACTCTACTGCATATAATTTGTGAACATTTACATGATTTATACACTTTGAACTCCCTTTCAGGCTGAAAGGGACTGAAAAAATTCATACCGAGAGATTCTTTTAATTCCTCTCTATATATTCTATTCTCTATGCTCATTACCTTTCTTTAAAATTGAACAACAATAAAATGTTTCTTTTGTCTGAAAATGGTTTATTTAATTGCTCGTGAACAATTTTTTGAAAATGAGACACAGGCTTTCAGATATCGAAGAAAACTTTTCATGTTAATGTGATTTAATGTTTCTAAAAATAGCATAAACGTGTAATACAAATTGACTTGAAAGTTTGACATGTCTGTGAAACAAGCTAAATCTAATTCATCATTCGTCTTGAACTGTCTATAACTCATTATCTTTCTTTAATTAAGTTTAATTATTATGTTTAAGTTTTCAGGTGTCAAGGCCTAAATGCATTAATCAAAAAGTTTGAACTATTAATATCTGTATATCCCTTGTAATATACACTATAGAGTCTATGCTGTAAATTATCTATAGAAGTTTTAGAAAGGGATACTACTGAAAAGGGTGTCCTTAAAGGGACTGTAAAGGAAAAATTAAAGGGGGTCTAGGATGAAACCTGAGAATCTCAAGTGTTGAACGATACATATAATAAGACATCTATCTGATGTTCCTGTCTCGAGAAATTGACATAAAACTGTGTCAAATTTATACAAAAATTCATATACTTGCAATTTTGAATAGAAATAGTAGGTTTAAACAGATCATATTCAACAAATACGCAACCAATCTGAAAACGATTATATCCTACAGGAGCCTGAGAATCTCAGGTTTGGTCCTATTATAATTTTTTTTATTTTCACTTTTAATAGATATAATTGATAATAATTATAGTCCGTATTATGTCACCAGAACTGCAGCCAATGGCAGTGCAGTATTCTTGTCACGTGATACAGACGGAACTCACGTGACCAGTAAAAAAAAAGAAAAATAATTATGAATGAAGGAAATGGACCGTTCAGAGAAATAAACCAACAAAATTTGCCGTGGAAATGGATGTCGTTTAGAAAATAAAGAATAAACCGAAATGAAATGAAAAAATTAAAACGCTGCCCATCTCAAAGTCTGTCCTTGGGTTAGGTTATTTTAAGAACTTCTTGCTAGGTCTGTTTAAAGGGACTGTAAGCGTAATTGCCAAGTTACCCTCCACATGGCGAAGAGGGAAATGCCCGATCCACATCGGCACCCTTTAAACATTTGAGGGCAGAGAACTCCGTATGTTTATTTATAAAATGGTGTTTAAATTGCCGAAAATCCGGAGAAATGTGTAATTTGAGCAACGATGATCAATATTTCGTCTCTTTTCTCACATTAAACATATTGATTTTTGCAATTTCTCCTAAAGTTACTTACGTTAGTTATCAATTTTCAATTTTCAATTAGAAAAACATGAATATCTTTATTTTTTTTTAACTAAGGTTACCATTGTGAATCTGTCATGCAAATCCTTGAATTGAAAATTTTAAATATTTAGAAGTTTGTCAAGTTACTTAAACAGTTTTTGCAGTTTTGTTGACAAAAAAAAAATACAAGTAATAGAGAAAAATAATTGAGAAAAATAATAGCGGCATGATCGACAATAAAACTGCTAAATGTTTACGGACATTTACAGGCAAATGGCTTAATCAAAAGCAGTTTTGAGAAAAAGTCACTATCGGGGGAAAATCGTTTTTTTTATTTTCGCACCACTCTTTATAAAGCTGTTTTTTGTGTGGTGAATACCGCTATACCATGATTTCCAGGCGTTATTAAATTGTCTTGGCTTAATATTCATTTTTTAAAAAAAATTGACTGAAATATATCCGAAAACAAATGTACTTATCTGAAAAACGAGCATTTTGGACGGTTTTTTGGACCTAACTCATAATTTTATGAAATTTTTTAAAAACTTTCTTAAACAATTTAAACTTTGTTGGCGATTATCTCCTGGAATTTAAAAGGTGTCGATTATCTCCTGGATTTTAAAAGGCGTCGACCTAAGATTTTCTGGAGTTACTCAGAGTATGTAGTAAATGGGAAATGTTACCGCGCACCATACTTTAGAATAAGTTATTATTTGTGGACATCTTACTCTTCAATAAGAAAACATATAAGATTTCAATGTAACGTGCATTTTACTTTATTTTGAAGTGGGAATAAACACCACATAGCAGCATGCATGTATTTATGATTTATAAAATGCGGATAAATCAGGAAAGTAAATGCAGGTTTAGAATATAAACTGAAGGATATTGTTTTTTATCAAAGATATTCTTACAAGATCTCATTCATCTAAAACATTGTCTATTCTTTACGAAGCCTTTAAGTCTAAAATTTAAAGTTTATTGAAAACAAGAATCGAACAATCGATCTTTAGAACACTGTTTAGGCTTAAGGATCTAATACTGCAATTAACATTGATCCAGGCTGATCTTGAAAAGAAATTGAGCCTTTGCCACAAACTCTGATTTTCTAATTCCTATGTCTTTGCAACTCAATATGGTAGACCTTAGATATTTCAAACTATGAATTCTGTTAGATTAATAATCTAGTTTTTATGTATAAAAGGTTTTCACCATCAGATTGCAAAGATATATGGATTAGAAAATTTAAATGCGTGGCAAAAACTCCATTCCTTGCATCGATATTCAGGACTGGATGGACTTTGAAATGTCGCAATACCTTGGCCCCCAGAGACATGTACATCCTTTAACAATTGTTATACCTTAAAAGGGTATTTATTTGGAATACTTGCGCGTGCAAGCTTACGACTTTTGGATGACTGCAAAGTAGATCTTGTAAACGTCTTATAAACGTCTTTGGTGATATGATATGTCAAATATATATTGATTTATGAAACCCCTTTTGTATAGAAATATAATGTTTTCAACAAGTGGAAAATATACAATTCAGTTTTTACCAATCAAAAGATGGGAATTGCTACGATATTTGCTACAGCAAGACGGGTGGAAATATCCTTAGATGAAAGGAAGGGGGGGGGGGTAGAGAAAGATTTAAATAGCTTAGCCAGCATTTTATATAAATCTATCTTACTTTGAAGGATTTACATAAGAACTGAATGCTCCACTTACAATATTAAAAAGATTTATCTATTCCAAAACCCCCCCCCCCCCCCCCCCTCCTCGATCCTTTATAGGAAAACCTTATTGAAAATGGTGTCCAGGAAATCGCTTTTTTTTATAATACTTATTTAAAAAATGTAACATCGCTCAAATGCCGAAAAATCAAAAAATATGGAAAAATCAAAAACTAAACAGAAAAATAATATCCAAAACAATGACAAGAATTGAAAACACAGGCAAAAGAAAGATAATATCCATTTGCAGATATCATACTTTTGATGAAGTATTTGAATGAAAAGTTGAATAAAGGAATCGAGTCTTTGTTACAAACTCTGATTTTGTAATCCCTATGTCTGAGCAACACAAAGGTTACAAAGGCATTCGAATATTTGATTTTGTGGCAAAAACTCAGTTCCTTTCAAAACTATAAGTCGACTTATACTTGTATGTTGCAATGTAATGCAGCAAATAACTCGGTTTCAGCTTTTGTTTCATAGAAGTATAAAATAAAAATTCTCAACAACTGAGTTCTTTAGCTTTAGTTCTAAAGGAGATCTGTATCAATCTTCGAATCTAAATCCGTATCTTTTGGTTTATGATAAAGCAATATTATCAAAAAACTATCCGGCCGGTAAAATATTGAATTCGAGAGTTGATCTAGAAAGCTTTAAGATCTATATAAGCTAGTCATTGAGGATATGAGGCATAGATGTTTACGCTGATTTCAGCAGTTTTGAATCTATATGTAGATTAGACACCAACCTGGCAACATGGTGAGCTGAAGCATTTATATTTAGTATTAATTCCTTTACTATAAACACATCCTACTATTAATAATCGTCATAATATGAAATTATTTTGCTTGTTTCAAATTACCCCCATTTAAAGAGTTGTCAGGAAAAAAACAAATAAATTTTTGCTCAGATTTAGATTACAAGTCTGTGTGTAGCTAAAAACTAAAATGGGTTTTCATTACTTGATAAGTATTGACGAACAATAAGTTTTTATTACTTCAAGACGCAATGTTTCAAATTTCAATAGAAAGGGTTTTATTTAAGAATGAAATATAAAATTTCCTTTTCCTTTTCCACGCTTTTTAACCTGGGTTCCATAATCTCATAGTTTGGAATGCTTACTTATGAATGCTTATCGTTTTTAACCTGGGTTCCATAATCTCATAGTTTGGAATGCTTGCTTATGAATGCTTATCGTTTTTTTTCTCATTTTTTTTATAGGAAAAAAATACTAACAAATGGATTACATTAAAGAAACCTTGATTTTTTATCAAATTGGACAAAAGTATGTTTTTATTCAGTTATCAAGTTATTTAGAATTCAACATTTCCGAAATGAATGGCTGATAAAAACTAGTTATTAAAGGGAGGAAGGCCAACCACAACATTTTCTCGTTCGAGCCACCTCGAAATCCTCCTCCTTTCAATATTATTTTTTTTAAGTGTCTAATCCTTCCAGATAAAACTAGTTTTTAAGAATAAAGGCACGTTAGGGCATAAATGAAATATAAAATTTTTGTAAATCGAAAAAGAAAGTTTCAATTGAATTAAAGATTTCAAGTCTTTAAAAATGTTCACCTTTTTTTCCGTGCATTTTCAGATATTCCTAATGTAGAATGCCGCAAATAATTCCAAGTTTATAGAAAATCAATCTTTTTTGTTAACTATGGTGAAAACCATAGAATTTTTCCTGATGGTTCCATGGGGAAAATTAAAGGCAGAGGTATGCCGAATATTTTGCTATTTATTTTATATCACGAAGGTTAGCCATTTCGGAGGCAAAAGAGATTTAAAATTTACCTAAGATAAAGTTTGACATAATTCTCATGGGTTTGAAGATTCAAACATGATATAATCATTGCAGTACTTTTGTCCATCCATATTTTATGCCCTAACGTGGCCAGATTTTTAAAAATAGTTTTATCTTTAAGAATTGGAAACTTTTTAACACAACATAATCGAGGGACGAGGATTCCGAGGTGGCTCGGACGAGAAAATGGGGAGAATGTGACTCGGACAAAAACTGATTATTGGATAAATGGCGGACAAAAAAAATGATTATTACAGATGTTGGCTGACAAAAACTGATTATTAAGGATGAATTGGTAGCATTTGATAAATGCCTGACAAAAACTGATTATTAAGGATTAATTGGCAGCATTTGATAAATGGCTGACAAAAACTTATTTTTAAGGATGAATTGGCAGCATTTGATAAATCGCTGACAAAAACTGATTATTAGAAAAATGGCAGACAAAAACTGATAATTGGATAAATTTAATTCAAGGATGAATTGGCGGCATTTGATAAATGGCGGACAAAAACTGATTATTAAGGATGAATTGGCAGCATTTGATAAATGGCTGACAAAAACTGAATTATTAAGGATGCATTGGCAGCATTTGATAAATGGCTGACAAAAACTGATTATTAAGGATGAATTGGCAGCATTTGATAAATGGCTGACAAAAACTGAAGATAAATTAGATGGAGGAAAGATTCAACGTCCTGGCAGTATAGTTGACGCTTGCCAGGTAAAAACTCTTAAATGATTGATTGATTGACAATTGTTCATTATACATCTAAAACTTGAAGGGTTACATTAGCAATTAAATTGTAAATGTAATTTTAAATGTCCGATTTACAACGGTATTACCCTTTAAGCCTTCGACTATTCATCGTGTAAAGAGCTAAGCCTTTGTATAGATATATCTTGAAAACCACTTGAATCCCTCTACACGTGGTGTACGCTGAGTACAGTTTAACCTCAACACAGCTGATTTGCCACTTGTGTAACGTCACATTACCAAATATTTGACACATTAGCTGAAACGCCCGGCGTTGCCCGTGGGGAAAAAATTGAGAAAAAAAATCGATTTTTAGCCTATGTCACCCCCAGGCTACCCATGAGTGCCTACAAAAAATGTCAGCCTATTCGGTCCAGATGTTTGGCCGGCCAAAGGGAACATATATAAATGTCTTGTTATATATTATATAGATTGAAAACTGTTTCCAAAAATAAAAAATAAAATCTAATTTTCTGCAAATTCCTGAAAGAGAAAATAACTTAAAAACAGGTTTCAAACAATGTGTTCAACAAATAATCAGGTTTCTGTAGATTACTGAGAATAAGTCCCACAACAATGATTAGTTGAAGGATTTAAGGATTTAAGGGTACCGTTGTAAAACGGCATTGCCACCTTTGTTTAGAGGTTCTTTAAGTACTATTTCCTATCTTTGCTGAAAAATTGATGAGTGAAATTTCCTTCTCTCCAGGGTTATCCAAAAAAAATGAGACTTCAGAGGCTTTCTTTAACTTTTAATGTTAGTGAATTGCAACTGTTAACTTGATCCATTTCTTTGAAATGAATTAATATGGCAATATTCAAAGTAAAAGTTAAAATTCAGATTCTTAAATTTTGTGAGGTCCAGTCGTCATATCAATCTTTTTTAGCTTTAAGTTATAAACATATGCCAGAACTTTTTTGGCTGCAAAATACAAAGGACTTGAGTTTTGCCACAAAATGAAATTGTCTAATCCCTATAGTTTTGGAACTTGATAATTTAAACTTTTGAAATTTTAAACTTATATTATTTGGTTGAACAGGATTCATAGTATTACATTTTTATATAGACATCAGTGGCCGAATTTAAAGAATTTGAGCGGCGGTTTAAATTTAAGCCGCGGTTTAAATATGGTTGGTTCCACTTAAAATTGAATCAAATGTTTCAAGATTTAAGCCGGCGCTGATTTAAACTGGGTTTTGGCGGATTTAAACCGCGGCTCAAATTCTTTAAATTCTATCTGAGGTTGCAAAGATATAGGGATTAAAAATGAAATTTTGTGGCAAAAACTCATTTCCTGTAGGCACTTCTAATCCTTAGTTTTTTAGGCACTCAGTAAGGCCCGGGATCTTAGAGCCGAATTCGAAAAGGAAACTAAATATTAAGATTGTAAAAATGTATCATAACTGATCAAGCTCATCCCCCCCCCCTCCCTCCCCTTTTCTCCCTACCTCAAAGAACTCCTAAGAGCACTAAACGAAATGATTTCAGTAAATTTCTAAAAGATTTAGGATTTAAAAAAAAACATTTTTAAGAACGGATCCTAATTTTTGAGAGATATATTTCATAATCAGAAAAATAATAGAATGTTGAATAAATGTAATTTCTTGGTTTAAACAATAAATATTTGAAAACATAAAGAGAGAGAAACCCCTGTCTACTGCCAAAGAACTTATTGGAGAAGATCCGGAGCTTAACGTAATATTTTAATCATTTTATTATTATTATTACTATTATTATTATTATTATTATTATTATTATTATTATTATAAGTTTTATTAATATTATCACTTTTATTGTAGGTGCTAACCACAAAATGTGAGAGAATAAAGAAACTGGCTGATAATTACCTATCTAAGGTATGCATATTTGATGTTATGCATTTTTTGAAATTCAAAATTGTCCCTGCTAACAATGTTTTAATAGCTAGTTGTGTATTAATCGCATTTTAAAAACTGCTATTATTCAGATTTCAGAAAGACCTTCAAAACTGTTGAACATTTTTGTTTTGTATTTAGTTAAAACTTAAATACTATTTATTAACATTAGCTTAAAAACCCAATTGTTAGGGGTAATATTGAGATATGTCAGATTAAATATTCTAAGTTTGAAATATTATTTCGAATTCCTATATCTGTGCAACCGAATGGTTTAACCATTCGGTTGCACAGATATAGGGATTCGAAAAACTCCTCATGAGGACACTTGAAATTACAGCAACATATGCTTTAAGGTTGAAGCTCTTTGTGTGCTATGGGCTAGTGGACAGGTTAACGCTGACCTTCAAGCTATTGAGAAGGCGCTACAAGCTTCAGGGTCAAAGGTTGGTTATTTTGTATTCTTGTTCAATGTCGTCTCTATTTGTTTGATAATTTATTAAGTGTATTTGTAAAAATGGTTTCCAACGATATGGAAATATCGATGCGCGTAAATCTCGCATTTTTGGTGCTTCCTTGCCTTTGAAATTTTTTTCGAAATTCCGCGAAGTTTGGTGAATTTTTTGCATGAAATGATTTTGACTAAAATTTTGCGAAAAAATGCTTGTCAAATTTCAAATTACATGTCAACAAAGGCCATTTTTTGCCTCACAAAATAATTGCAAAGACTTGCACAAAAAGTAAAGGATTTTGTGCAATTGTATTGCAAGGAAACCCCTAGATGGCGTGCCAAAATTATGCTGAAAAATTATTTTTAATTTGTTTATTTCTGAATTTTAATTTTCCTTTATTTTCCTATATTAGATTAAAATGACTGCAGATGACCTCAAGGCGTGTGTGTCTGAAATTCAGGCAGTGCTTGTTGTTTAACTCAGGAATCTCATGCAATTTTTATATTTAATAAACTTTAAGAATTAAAGAGAATAGTTGAAATGATATTTCTGTTTTTAGAAATGGAAAAAAATAGAAAAGTTTAAGCCAATTAGCTCAGAAATATTCTCTCACTTCATTTTCAAATCTGATTACTTTTTAAAACTTTTCTGATTAATATCTTCAAAGGATTGAAAGAAACTTGAAAGGTTTGAAAGTTTAAAAGCTTAAAGTGAGTGTAGACCACAAACTAAAAGAATCAAAATCAATGGCGAGATACTAAGAAATTGTAACAGTTAACAGCTAAACCGCCTGTTTGTTTTCGATAACTTTCCCTTTAAGTAACTTTCTAATGAGCCCCTTTTAATCCTAAAAATAAAAGATTGCTTGACAAAAAAGTAAAAAATGCATAGTTTGCAGGTAGAGGAGGTTTACTGGATTTTCACATTGGATTTTTACAATTTCTACTTTGTGTCTTATTTATTTATGTATTTTATGTCTTTTATATTGTTAATAATAATATGAAAAATAAATATAAAAATGTCTCATTAATCTCTTAATATTAAAACAGGTTTTTGATCGTTTCGGATCGTTTTGGATTGTTTTGGATCGTTTAAAGAAAAACATCCAATTGGCTTTTATTAAACTTTGTAATATCTTTATCAAAAAGTGGGAATACAAAATAAAAAGGATCTTTACAACACGTTAGTTTTCCATCGTTTTGGCTCATTTTTTGGCTCGTTTATTGCTTATATCTTCTGTTAAGGTCAAAATTTTCTTATCTTCTATCTACGCCTCATTTTGACCTTAAGAGAATATATAGGCAAAAAACTATACCAAAAACGTACCAACGAATCACAAGTTACATATTATCAATTCAAAACTTTTTTGTACATCTCACTATCTCATTTATAAGATGTGAAGGAGGAGGGTGTTTTATTAATATTTTACTTTTTTGAGACAACACTGTAGACTTAATGCTGAAAAGTTTAAAATAAACTAAGTTTTAAACTGTTTCTCTTGTTTAGGTTTATATTCAAAGTTAGATTATATATACAAGTTATGGTAAAGGAGTATACGATGATATCAAACCCCGACCACATTTTTACATAAATAGAGAAAGGGAATTGAACTATACTCGCATTAAACTTTAATTGCTATTTATACATATTTTTAACCGGATAGTGTTAGCAATGATTTTAATTAAGCTTAGTTAAACTTCTATTTTGCACGCATCAGTATGTATCAAAAGTAACTGAGTTTTTGCCACAAACTCTTAATTTCTGATACCTATATCTTTCCATTTCGATGCTGTAGATCTTTAATAATTCAAACTATGAATTTTGTAGATCAAATAGTTTTAAATATCAAAGGTTATGCAATATATATGGTAAAAAAACATAAGGAATTCGAATATTTGAGTATGTCGCTAAAATTCATTTCGTTTAAGGAAATACATTTTCGCAATTTTTACTAAGCCTGTTTATTCGAATTTGAATTCGAAGAAAATGTATGTTTGGAATTTTATTTGTATTTTACATAATGAAAGAAACTAAAGAAACCCCTGTCCGGCGTCATTTTGTTCAATAAAAGACATTAAACTAACATTTCATAAGAGAAAGTTTAAGTTTGGAGGTAGAAAGTATAGTCAACATTACCAAATTATCCTTTCAAAAAGTATGATTAATGTTAAACCAACATGGCGACAGTCTGCAGTATCATTGTTGGACCGATGTTTTAGTATTTATAATAAAATAAATTTGTTAATTCAACATTTTGCAAGAAGACAGAGTTAAATGATCTTAAAAATGTGCATTTTCCTTAATAACAAGTTTTTCTAAAACTTAACGACTAAGACGCAAAAAAATGTTTACAAAAAGTGAACATCAAGATAGACGTTATGGAGCAATCCTATTTTGATTAGCACCAACGAGGTTATAGTATATAGAATTATGATGTACGCTAATCCTTTACTAATTGTGCAGGCCATGTACTTCACTTCCAAAGGTCAATCTGTATATTTATACAGTACCCGGGCGTGAATTCTGAAAATATCTAAATGGAGAATTGTTTTCCATTAAAATCCACTATGTACTCCTTTATCTTATGCAGGATTACATTTTCACAGGAAGACGCACTGTTACAGTCTTTTACAGAGCAATATTTCATAAACGGTTCTGAGTAAACTATACTAAGTGTAGAAGTCAAACCTTATAGAAATCCAACGTATAGAAACAGTTACGTATAGCAACAAGGCGTATTTTCCGGGAGAACATTTTTTATATTTTTGAGAAATTTAACGTTTTTGTAAAACATTGCAGCTTATCATTATCATTATGATAATTTCTTTTTTTTAACATACCCTAGACATTAAAGGAGCAAAATAGTTTAATATGTACATTTGTACTGCTCTCTATTGTGTTTAAGGTACCCCAGATTTTATTATGTACTGACAACATAAATGAATGATTATATGGTTATAAATAAATTTGCATGTTTCTATTTAAAATTTTTTTTTATAAAAATGCTATCTATAGTTTTATTTTTAGAAAACAAAATTTCCCAAAAGTATAAAAAAAATTCTTCAGTAATGCTAATATGATTTCATAAAATTCCGTTTTACCATTTAAATAAAAGGATTTTATGAAAATTATATCTACTTTACATAATGCCAGGTTGCAAAGATAACAACAGCGTATGAGGGTTACGTCCGAGTGATGGAAATAACCCGATCTGCAATGTTGTCAGGTTGCAAAGATAATTGATCTAACACAAGTGGAACAACTTGAAGTGTGATCTTATCAAAGTTTGCTAATTTAAGTTTGCCAATTCATTGCACATTTTGTAGTGAGAGAATACTACACTATTACACAAAAACTAACTAACAATTTTATAACCCTTTTGATAAAAAATGTGTTCATTTTGACCAAAAGTACAATAATTTTTTTATAAAGTAATTAAAAAAATATCACGTTTTAAAATCCAAACCATAACAATGAGTCTTAATCATCTTTTTTGCCAAGGTGTTTAGTTCTCTTAAATTAAAGGTAAACCCATATTTTGGTCAAAAATGTTTTATCGTTTGTCTGGAAAATGTTTTATTTTCGGTCAAAAAAAATATTTTTTTTTCAGCTATATTGTTTACAATAATGATTGTAATTAAAATATAAGAGTAATATACGGCCCATGTTGCCAAATCTAATCGTTTTTGTTTTTTCTTTAATGTAATCAATTTTATAAGAATAAGAATTTAAAGTTGCCCCAATATGTTTAACCCTATCCCTTCTGGGGTACTTGAAAACCAGGATACGCTGGGGGGGGGAAAAATTTCAACAGCCTCAGACCAATACTTTTTGAGTTATGAAAAAAAAACTACAGGGGGGGTCAAATTGACCCCCCCCCCAGCAGGAATAGGGTTAATTCTTTTAAATTACAACAATTATGATTAAACCTTAGTTCTAAATAACCATATTTTTGGTCCAATACGTTTTTAATTTTTCTGGAATTTTGTATTTATGAACAAAAATTATTTGCTGACAGTTATTTTTTTACGATTTTTTTGTGTTTGAAATAGAAGAATTGTATATTTTCCCTGCCCACATTTTTGTCAATCTAATAATGGAAACAACCCGAGCAAACATACAAGGTACTGCCGGTTGAACTTATAATTATGCGTCATATCAAATTTTAAGTGGAAAAGTTTTGACACTTTCAGAAGGAAGGGGGGGGGGAAGGAGGGCTGAAGTTTGGTGTGCCAAAAATTATCCCAAATTTCAACCATATTGTTTTTTTCAAGACGTTGATTTTAGTTAAATAGTCTTGAATAATAAAATGTAAATTTATGTAGATCTTGAATCTGAAATCTCCGCACAAAATAATAAAAGAGAAGAAAAAAATCAAAACTGCAAGAGAAGCCTTTTTAAATATTCCCCAAAAAATCCTTTAATGTCCCATCAGAAAATTTTTCTTACATTCTCCCTGTATTCTCCTTCCAAAATACAAGTTTCTTGTATTCCCCCTGTATTCTCCTTCCAGGATACAAGTTTCTTGTATTCCCCCTGTATTCTCCTTCCAGGATACAAGTTTCTTGTATTCCCCCTGTATTCTCCTCCCAGGATAAAAGTTTCTTGTATTCCCCATGGATTCTCCTTTCAGGATAGAAGTTTCTTATATTCCCCCTGTATTCTCCTTCCAGGATACAAGTTTCTTGTATTCCCCCTGTATTCTCCTCCCAGGATAAAAGTTTCTTGTATTCCCCATGGATTCTCCTTTCAGGATAGAAGTTTCTTATATTCCCCCTGTATTCTCCTTCCAGGATACAAGTTTCTTGTATTCCCCTTGTATCCTCCTTCCAGGATACAAGTTTCTTGTATTCCCTCTGTATTCTCCTTCCAGGATACAAGTTTCTTATATTCCCCCTGTATTCTCCTTCCAGGAGAAAAAATTCTTGTATTCCCCCTGTATTCTCCTTCCAGGATAAAAGTTTCTTATATTCCCCCTGTATTCTCCTTCCAGGATACAAGTTTCTTGTATTCCCCCTGTACTCTCCTTCCAGGATACAAGTTTCTTGTATTCCCCCTGTATTCTCCTTCCAGGAGAAAAGTTTCTTATATTCCCCCTGTATTCTCCTTCCAGGATAGAAGTTCTTATATTCCTACTGTATTCTCCTTTCAGGATAAAAGTTTCTTATATTACCCCTGTATTCTCCTTTCAGGATAAAAGTTTCTTATATTCCCCCTGTATAAAGGATGAAGTATGCTGAAAAACTGCACTGTAGTTCCTCAACACTTCTAACCTTAACAACCAATTTTTAGGTTAGTTAAAAATTATTACAGGGACATTATGACATTATTATTTTAATGACCAATATAAGAAAAGAACAACTATTTTTTTCTAATCTGCAAATTGATCATTTTAAATAAAAAATTTACGAGGACGGAAATGGACAGAATTTATCTCTTCAACATTAACCCTATGTCTAATTTTTCAAGGCCTGCTCATTAATAAAAGTATACCTTTTTCTTGAATGTTGCAAGGGAGGATTGAAAAAAAGTTGAAAAAATAAATCAGGAAAATTATCAAAACTAAATATTTTTACTTTTGACAATTATTACGATAGGGAACATGTTATTACATCTATTTTTCAAGGGCTTTTCAAATATATAAATTTTAGCCCTGATAGCTTAGTTTAAAAAAAGTTATTAACAATTTCTGATTTTTTTAACACCGACCGCTATTGGACTGTCCTCCACGCTATACCCTATGCATAAAAAAATCAATAATTGTCACAACTATGAGGTTGAAAAGGTGAGAAAGTTTTAGCGTTCTAATGCCAGCCATTTTTTAGTTATTTAGAAAAAAAACCCCAGGGGTAGAACCCTCTTTCACTTTTAAGATACTAGCAAAAAACCATTGAATGTCGTCTTTCTTTTCAACAATTTTATTAATCCCACTATATTCTGATTTTCTCATTTTCCCTGCGGGGGGCTGCAAATTAAATGCTTTTTTCATGTTTATGAAGTTTTTGCAACCAATTTCTTACTAATTGATACTTAGTGTGATTAATACAGACTTCTAAGAATTAATCCCGAATTATAATAATCATAATGGTGATACAGTGCCTCTGGAATAGGAAGACGACTTTTAAACTCAATGTATGACTTTAGATAGTCCAACTAACATTTTGCACATCGCACATTTTTCTATAGTGAAGTGCAAAAAACATTTCTTGTAATACGTGATCTAATACCTGACTAGTTAAACTGCTTTGTAACTGTTTGTAACAAACTCAAACGCAATTGCTTTAATGTCGTCTTTATATTCTACAGTTTTCACACTATATATAAATTTGAATCTAAAATTTCCTAAACTACTAAAATAAGTTTGTAAATAATAACTATAGACTGGGGGGTAATGGTGCATAACTTTAATTAAGAAATTATGGACAATGCTTTACTTTTAAACTATTCAAATATTTTATTTTTATTCAACTAATTAAACTTCCTTTTCTGGTATTAAAGGGACTGTAAGCGTAATTTTAAGTGACCTTCCTTGCAAAGATTGCAATTTCCGATTCACAACGGTACCATTAAAAGCCTTTTCTGGTGAAGTATGAATTAGCTATAATGTTTGAAATTAAAATAAAAACTTACATAAATTATCAGAATTAAACACTTGTAAACCCAGAAAAGCGACAACATCTTTCACAATAGTGATCAGATAAAGGTTTCAGGGGTAACGTACCGTAACAAAATTTGCTCTTTTAAATTCATTTGAGATATCCGTTTGAGAACTTTCAAACCCCTGCCCGGCTCCATAACCTTTATCACAAGGAAATTAACTTTTAAAATTGCAATACAGGTATGCCCAAGATTTTGATCGTATTGATCATTTCGGAGGGGGACGTAACGCTCCTCAATCTAAAAGTAGATTTACACTTTCGGGTTTTAGGGTTAATAATTTTATTTCTAAAATACAACGTTAGGGATATCAATTTTGTCTTCTAATAAAATCGAATGTCAGTCTAATTTCAGGTAGGGTTTGCAGTGAACAAAACATTTTCGTTCGTATTTCGCAAACTTTTTCGTGATATTTCGCCTTTTTTTCGCGAAAATGAATGAAGCGAAAGATTCAAACACGAAGCAAAATATTTTTCGCGAAATTTTTTACAAAAACCAAAGGTGTTCAAGCTGTATTTTTTCTTTTTTGATAAACTTTTGCAAAAATTCTGAAATTTTCGTATTTTTTCCGCGAATTTTTTTTTTTTTGCATTTTTCTCGAGCGAACGCAATGCGAAAATAATGCGAATATTTTCGCGAAAAATTAGAAACTTTCGCGAAACGATTTAACCTTTTCGCTGCAAACCCTAATTACAGGTGACCTTCCATGCAAAGATTTCAATGCCCGATTTAGAACGGAACCCTAGAAACCTTGGAATATAATGTCGGTTTACTGAGTCGAAAAGTGCTAGATTCTGATGATTTCTCCATGGTTTCTCATAAGCAAGAAAAGCTCACTTTTGCAGAAAAACAACAAATGAACATGAACAGTTTTAAATATCATGAACATTGATATCTTGTTCATATTTGATCAGACAAAACAACAAATGAACATGAACAGTTTTAAATATCATGAACATTGATACCTTGTTCATATTTGATCAGACAAAACGTTTAACAAGCCGTTGTAAATCTTTGCATAAAGGTTCAATTGAAAATACGCTTATAGTCATCCTAGAATGAAATCTGTGACTAAAGTTTTCCCTGCTAGATTGTCTGGGTTCCATGTTTGCTGAAATGCACTTTGTCGGAAAGTAATTTTCTATCTTTTCCATTAAGATAAGAGAATTATTACAAACATCTATCTATTTACCTTTTCATCAGAAATGCTCAAAAAACAATGTGTAATTTTCCGTTATATTTTCACCTCTTAATTATTATTTTTAGAATAGCAGTTTGCACATATATAGGGATAAGAATATCATAGTCTTAGTTCCTTGGAGTTAAATTAAGCACAATTTATATCATTTTAATGTTGAAAACAAATGGTTAGTTTTTTGGTATTGTTTAACATTACTATTTGCACGCATGATTGAAATGTTATATCATCTTTTATAGAATTGTTTTTATTGTTTCAAACTGAAGGTTCATATATAATAAAAATTTATACATTTACTGTGAGAAAAACTGAAATTATTTCCCTGTGAAACTGTACTGAATCTTATGTTTATTGGATCTATCTGTATCTAGAATGGAAGCTGAGGGGATAGACTTGGAAACTATACTGAATCTTATGTTTCTTTGATCTATCTGTATCTAGCATGGAAGCTGTGGGGATAGACTGGGAAACTATACTGAATCTCATGTTTATTTGATTATCTGTATCTAGAATGGAAGCTGAGGGGATAGACTGGGACACCATACTGAATCTCTTCCCTACAGAGGATACAGAGGAACATCAAGAACAGAGAAAGTAAGTTTATATTTCTATGGTGGTATTTGTTTTTGAAAAATCACCTCTCCCAATTTTTCAGAAAAAAATTTATTGAAATTTAAATGAAATATAAGCAAGAATGTATCTGATTTACGAAGATTTCTTTTGGTTCTTTTACAGATGCATTTACCACCCCACTCTAAAAGTATCATGAGCCGAGCCACTAGCAATGCCGGGCACTGGAGCTAAGATCGTGATTTAATACCTAGCGCTGGTAAACGGCTGGAGTAACTATGCCTATGAACATTAATTTATAAACCTCGACATATCGGTTTATATTATTTCAGTGAGATGTGGTTCTTGTTCAACGTAAACGAGAACCCTGGGTTGACCATCTTCGAGCTGGAGAAGGGAATTGTACAGATGACACAGACAGGCGATATTTTTGACAGGTGAGTACATTGATTTAACTTTAAATATTCATCATAGTGCCAGTCAGCTTGTAGCGGATACATTCGCACCCTCGCTATGCAGAGTAGTGATGGTCCTAATCTGTTACATAAGAGTATTAGCTATTCTTGATCCTACCAGAGCTACTAGCCATAGCACCAATATTACCCAATACCCAGCATAAAAATATTGCGATTCACTATCTGCTTTATAGTACTACTACACTGTACAATTTACAGTGTTAACTATTCTGTAAACCTTACAGTGAAATTTCAAGTGTTCATCAATTAATTTCCAATTTGTCCTGAGTTCTTATCAAAATACAATCAAAACTAGTTTTGCTGAGTAAAAATGAACAAAAATCATTACTATAATTAAATTTAAAGGGGAATATTGAGAAATAGGTTTAAAGTGTCTGACTAGGCATGGTAGTTGAGCTGAGAAGTATTGTAGAGCCAGGTAGTTGAGCTGAGAACTATTGTAGAGCCAATTTTAGGATTCGTCTAAGTTTTTAAAACATTTTAGTAGACTTTACTAATTGTTGTTATTATTATAATTTCACTGACCGAATGTAAAATTAAAATTCTGAAAAATTATCTAGAGCTTAAAGTTGTCTTCTTTCTTAAAATCCTTAATGGCTCGACCTAGTAGTTGTAAAGAATTTTTTTAAGGATTCATTTGAGACCTAAATGAGAGGTTTTAAGGGTGAATATTTGAGACCTAAATGAGAAGTTTTAAGGGTGAATATTTGAGACCTAAATGAGAGGTTTTAAGGGTGAATATTTGTTCAGAAAAAGCACAAACTCAATCTTAAAAATCCACAGAGATTGTTCTTTTTGGAGGAATGTTTTTGAGAATCGTTTTTATTAGTTATTCTACAGTAAACTAAATAACTGTTTAGGAACCGGTTGAGAAAATAAAAATTAACTCTTATCCTTGAAATTAAGTAATCTTATTCAGATTTTGGTTGCTGTAATGTCTCATTATTCACACATATTTTCCGTAGATTGCCTTGAATTTGTATTGAAAAGATGAGTTTTGTCGCTGATAAGATATGTTTTGATATGTTTTGTGGTGATAAGTTTAGTGACGATATGTTTTGTATGGGCTCCGTCAAATTGACCCCCAACAGTACCTTTAAAACCTGTGAGTTCTATAGAATGACAAACTTTTCCATATTTTATCAACAGAAACTAGTGTTAGACATAGAATATTCTAGATATTCGAGGAATAAACGTGACGTCATCCATGTTGAGTTTATACAGTACGCTAGCGTACACTCCAGTTTTACGGCTGTTTACATTATCCTCGATGATCAATTATAAATGTTTAATGGTTCCTGTCAATCGCGGATGTCTCTCTTTTATTGGATCATTTGAAATTACGCTTACAATCCCTTTAAACTTGGTTGTTTTGCTGACTGATTGTGATATTAAAATTTGTTCAGTGAAAGAGCGATTAATGATGCTTTCGAACATGCTAAGAACGCCAAACTGGACAAAGCAGAAGGTAATCAGCAATATCGGCAGCGCTGGGTTCTCAAGCTAGTATACAGAAAACTCAAATCATTGAATAATTCTTTTCTTAATATATACATATAAAAAGTTTTAAAAAAATGTATGACAGTTTTAGAAAGGACTAATTCGTTCGAAGGTATGGAGGAAATGTTGGATAAAGATCAGTTTAATCTCTTCCTGCGATCCATCAGGATGATCTTTGAGTTCTATCAGGTAAAATGGGGGGGGGGGGGTAATAGTTTAAAGAAATTGAGGCTTTGCCACAAACTCTGATTTTCTAATCTCCATAGCTTCGCGTATAGCCCAACGTCGTAAGCCTAAAATATTTCAAACCTATTAGATCAAGTAATCAAGTTTTTTATATTAAATTTTTTCACCATCAGGATGCAAATATAAAGGGAGTAAAAATTTGATTTGGTAGCACAGACAACATTCCTTTGTTTACTTTTCTCTCTGTTCTGTTTTAAAGATTAAATGTTTTTGTTTCCAAATGTTTTTTGTACTTTTGTTATAAATTCATTGTCGTCATTCTTTGTGGTAACCATTTACATTAGTGTTTAAACTGTTTTAGCTCTATTGCAACCTCAGATGCATTTTTCTCTACTTTTAGGCAAACAATTGATAAAAAACGATTGGAAACATTCTGAACAATAAAAAAGTTTTCGAGTGGATTTAATAAAAATATGACTTGTCATTTTTGAGTAACAGTTGTGCTAAAATCATGTGTTAGCGTATCCAAGGTCGGTCAAATCGAAATATAAACTTTGGTTGAGATGTTCCTTGAGATTAGAAATGCAATTATTACGTTTATTCTGTGCAGGCCTTCAATTGGATAGATTCTGACGGAGATCATATAATTACAAAAACAGAATTCACATCCCAGGAAGTTGAGAAGGTAGGTTTGAAAATATATTTCTTTTAAGAAGGTTTAGGAGGTTTATCAGGAGGTTAACAGGAGGTTTAACAGGAGGTTTAACAGGAGGTTTAGAGGGTTTAACAGGAGGTTTAACAGGTGGTTTATGAGATTGAACAGGAGGTTTAATAGGAGGTTTAATAGGAGGTTTAACAGGAGGTTTAACAGGAGGTTTAGGAAGTTTAGGAGGTTAACAGGAGGTTTAATAGGAGGTTTAATAGGAGGTTTAACAGAAGGTTTAACAGGAGGTTTAACAGGAGGTTTAGGAGGTTTAATAGGAGGTTTAATAGGAGGTTTAACAGGATGTTTAACAGGAGGTTTAGGAAGTTTAGGATGTTTAACAGGAGGTTTAACAGGATGTTTAACAAGAGGCTTAACAGGAGGTTTAACAGGTGGTTTAGTAGGTTTAGGAAGTTTAATAGGAGGTGTTTAGGAGGTTTAACGGGAGGTTTCGGAGGTTTAATAGGTGGTTTTTAGGAGATATAAAGGGACAGTTCGCGTAATTTTAAGTTACCAGGTCCTATTGCAAAGATGCCCAAGCCTTTGAACCCTTTGTCTGATCAATATTCTCGTTTTTAAAACTTTAAAGTGTTTAATTCTGATAATTTCTTTATGTTTTCCTGTAGTAAATTATCCAAAACACGAGACACAGCAACTGTGTATTGTAAACATACCCAACTAACGTAATACGTTGATTTAATAAGTTACTAGTAAAACTATTTGATTTGGAACAACATAAAATACACTTGAGTAATGCTATGTCGCCTTCCTATTCCACAGTTTTCTGGTTCTCACTGTATAAGACAAACTGAAATTCCATGCCTAACCTAAATTTTTCCATCAAGATTAATTTACATGCCCTCCTCCCTCTCCCCACCTTACTCACCCCACCTCCGTACTCCCTCCCCACATTACTCCCCCCTCCCTACCTCCTTACTCCCCCATCCCTCCTTACTCTTACTTTCATGAATAATTCATGTTTTATGTTTATTTTGCAAACGTTTGCAAGAACAGACTGTATCAGGTTTCAGAACTTGAGAAATTTGCAAAAAACTTTTTCACTTTTGAACCTGACCCAGGGGGGGGGGTATACAGGATAAATGGGAAGTAAATAATTGGCTAAAAATTGACGAATTTTAAATTCTAACCCAGAGGCCAAATTTAAGGAGTTTAACCCGCATCGTTGAACCGCAAAAAACTGGTTCCAATTGAGCACCGGCTCAAATTTGAGACGTGGCTCAAATTCTTGAAATTCGGCCTCAGCATAATTTTTTTAAAAGTTGGGATTGTGTTAGCTTTTCGTACATGTACACTGCGCAAAACAAGATGTGCAACGCTTTTACGCAATAATCGAGCAGTTTTTTTTGCCAATTACTCCAAAAAGTACTGCAAAAAAGTAGAAGAGTAACTTGGAATAAAAAAACCATAGCCCAACCCAAATATTTTATGAAAAACTGTCATTGTTGTCTAGATATTATTTTTTACTGATTACAAATTAAGGACTTGATTTAAGGAGACACTCTAAATTCTCACACTCACATCTAACCCTTTAGTAAAAGTAAATCTAACCTAAAGTCTGACCACGTCAACCTTGTTGAGTGTCTGCTTTATTTACCCAATGTCCAGGCGACTCAGTACAAACTGGGACCGGAAAGGTTGACCCGGCTCGGGAATTCAAATGTACTACAGCTGCCCGTGGTCACTGCTTATTTAAAAGAATGATACATTTTGCGGCTCCCTAAATATAAACGAACTAAAAAAATATAAACTTGAATTTTTAGCTTCAATCTGTTACACGTAGTGATTGTAAGTTAAGTATCAGTGACGTCATATGAGGATTTAGAGTGTCCATTACAAGAAAGACGACATTTAAACTACCTTATATACAACCTTGTATAAGATTATCTTTTCTGCCCTTTCCTTGTGAATGCATGAAATGATATTATTCTAGTTTGTTTTCTCTGAAAAATTAACAAATTACTATCTGAGAGAGGAAGACAGATATACATTTATCATGTTTTTCATAACAAACATTATTTCGATCTGATTTTCCTCTTTTTAGCAAATAAAAATAGAAGCATTTGTATCTTAAAGAGTGTCCCATTTAAATGTTCTAAGTCATATATCTTTGCAACTTAATGGTGAAAATCTTTTTTATTCGAACTGAAACAATTTCATCAAACAGTGTCCGAATTTAATAAATTTAAGCCGCGTCTCAAATCCCCCAAAAACAGGTTTTAATTGAGCGCCGGCTTAAATCTTGAAAACATAAATACAATTCTTTAAATTCGGCCTCAAAACTCATAGTTTTTAATATAAAGTGTTTACACCATTGGCTTGAACAGATGCAGAAATTTAAAACTCAGAGTTTGTGGCAGGAAAGCAGCTTTTAATAAAAAGAAATCTGTACAAATCTTTAAATGTAACTCTGTCAATTTTGAAAAAATGGTTGTGTTACCAATAAAACTGTATTTTCTAAATTTTGCCGATGGGAGCAAAGACGATTTGGACTTAATTCCCGCATTTATTGAAGAATCATATAGCATGCAGTGTTAAGACAGTCCACAAAGCAAGCTTTTTGGTACGATTGCTTTCTATTAAAAAACATGCTTTAGCTTGACCTCTTTCAACGGTTTCATTTAGAAAAGTCTTCAGTTGTCGTAATTTCAAAATATTTTAAATTCTGAAAATAATTTTCTTTTTATCTTATAATTTTGAACACCACAAAAATCAGTTCTGTATCTACCCAAAAATTTTTGTTCTTAAATTTTAGCCCAAATTTGAACTTTTGGAAAGTTTATAACATTGCTAAACATTGAATTGAAATGAAAATAGTATCGATTGATTCATATTTTATAAATAGATGTTCCTATACCCTCGTCAACTTTTCGCAAGTACTCTTTACTTAAAACAGACGGTTGTTGGGGTAGTAAGAGTAGTTGCCATTCAGATTTAGCTTCAAGGGTGGGGGTGGGGTCTCTCTTAAAACAGACGGTAGTTGGGGTAGTACAATGATACCCTTGAAGCTTTGTCTAATCACGTAAAAATTACATATTAACGTGTTTGCTTCTTTAAACAGTTTATTTGTAATAAATATCGGGTCACATGATATTCTGTAAACTTTCAGTACACTGCACATTATTAATTATTTATGTTTGTAATTAATTTAACAAGCGACGCTAAACCGACAAAAACTTGTTGAAATTGAGCGCCGACTCAACTCTTGAAACATAAGATACAATCTTAAGTAGAACCAACCATGTTTGAGCCTTGTCTCAAATTTAAGACGCGGCTCAAATTCTTTAAATTCGGCGTCAGTTTTAATTCATGCATTGGCGAACATTTTAAATGAACTTCGTACACGTAGTTGTTTTGTAGTAAGCACCTACTCCTTAACAATTTCTCGAAACATATCTATCCAGGTCCGTCCACTATCAAACTCCAACAGTACAGAACCCCAGAGCCCAAAATTTAAAAGAGTATCATTGAACGAAACTTCAAAGTTTCCTTTTTGGGGTCTTAACCTTTGTGTAGATTTTGATTTTAGAGATTCGAAAAAAATGTAGAATATTAAGAAGCTAAATAAAATAATATTTCATAATACAATTATTGATATACACAAAATTGCTTAACCCCATTTATGAAACCCAGGCTCTAAAACTGGTTTTCATAACGATACCCTGTCTTAAGTTTTGGGCTCAGAGCCCAAAATTTAAAAGAGTATCGTTGAACGAAACTCCCGAGTTTCGTTTTTGGGATCTTAACATTTGTGTAGATTTTGATTTAAAAGGTTTTTAAAAAATGGAAAATATGGAAAAACTAAATAAAGTAATATTTCATAACACAAATATTGATATCCACAAAACTGCCTAACCCCATTCATGAAACACGGGTTCTAAAACTGGTTTTCATGACGATACCCTGTCTTAAGTTTTGGGCTCAGGCTCTAACTGCCACACAGGGACACAAGTGTAGCTATCAAAATCCTGCTACTAATACAGTGCTCTAAATGCAACACAGGGACACAAGCCTAGCTATACAATAAGCTATATATATCGATCCCGAATGATGGGGGCGATCCGTTGCTCTAAATGCCACACAAGGACACAAGCCTAGCTATACAACAAGCTGAATATCGATCCCAAATTAAAGGGGAAGATCCCACCTGATTGTTAAAACAGGGTTTCAGGATTACTTTCGCACAGAAAACAGTACGGAGTCATATTTCTTAGTTCATATTAGAATTGGATCATTAACAGCATAATTACAAGTTATGTATATAATGTAGTTAACAATCACTGCAATATTTGGGTGGTATTTCGGAGTAATATATATATATATATCTAAGTAGATGGAATGGGTTAATTGCAATGGGTTTGTGTAATTACTATATGAACAAGGAACAACATAAATTACTATAGGCTTGTTGATACATAACCACTTTTCTTGTGCACCTGTGTCTTCAAAAAGCATAATTATTATTATATTATAAAGATGTATTCTCACACACAGATATAAATACACATATTAATGGTGTAGTTTAAATTTCTTTAGATATTTTGAATATATAGTTTTACAAAAGAAAAATAAAAAAGTATGCATAATTATGCACAAATAGGCGAAATTGATCATTTCTCATTACAAAACATATTTATCATTTCAGTTATACTTCCCTGTCCCCTTCAAAGGGTCATTGTAAAAAAGCAAACACGATTCCTTTATCCCAAATCCTTGTTCTTTAAACAAGTTCTATTTTCAATAAATATATTTAAAATATTCCATATTTTTGTTCAACATATTCAAAATATTTTTCGAAAATATGTGCTTTTAAAATTCATATTTTATGCATAATTGCATTGATATCATACAGAAATATCCAAATAGATCTAGACTAAAAGAACGAACTAAATTTATCAATTTAACACTTTACACTTATGGAGGTTAAATTTAATAAAGTTTCATTCTTTTTTTATTCTTTTAACTTGATTCTTCAGCACAATCAGAGTTGGATACTATCAAGTTTTACCTGACAGGTTAAGCTTTTCATGAGAAGAGATTAAGTTTAACTCATATTTTACAATCAAAAGTTTTCGCCGCTTGTTTATTAGTATTAAATATGTATATGTATTTCACAGACAGTATTAAATTGTTCTAAGCTGGATATTTATGAATCGGCTTGACTTCTTGTGAGAGCTTAAATGTGGGATGAAAGTTGTTAATATCTGTTCATCAAAAACATTTGTATCACAAACGCAATTAAGGATCTAAATAAACAGAAAAAGATGCTGAACTAGTCATAACAAGTTCAAATACTTCTCAAACATTTATAAATTCCCATCTCTGATTTATCTAGGTCATTGAGAGCTGGTTGGGAGAAGATAGTTTGGGGGGTTCGCAGTTTGATTCTATTGATCTGACAAACAAAAATGGAGAGGAGAAAATTACCTTTTGCGTAAGTATTTACACATCATTTGCATATAAAAAGATTACAGGAAGGAATTTAGTTTTTGCAACAAATCCTGAATTTATCTTTTCCATATCTTTGCAACCCAATGGCGTAGACCTTAGATATTTTAAACTATGAATTCTGTTAAATTTAAAAATCTAGATTTGAACACGGATGTAGAGATTATTTGAGTTTGTGGCAAAGACTTAATTTCTTTTTTTGATAAGTTTCCTCTACATATAATATAACCTTATTAATTAATACTTTTTTGATAAGTTTCCTCTATACATAATATAACTTAATTAATTAATACTTTTTTGATAAGTTTCCTTTATATATAATATAACCTAATTAATTAATACTTTTTTGCTTTCTATAAAGAGATTTTATAAAATTAATTCAAAGCGGAGACAAAAAAGATTAAATCAATATAATAAAGCTCTTTGCTCATATATATATATGTATTGGCTAAACGGCTAACATTTATTGAGGGAACCCATGTTTTTTATTCAAAAATCGAATGTTTTTTTTTTCAAAAATCGAATTTCACAGGCAACACATTAAGAATAGTTAATGATAAACTACATTTATATAAATTTCATTCCGAAGGAATTTCTGGATTGGGCTCTGAAAAGAAATATCATTCATCAGGTGACAGACAAGACAGACAAGATAGACAAGATCAGCAAGACAGACAAGATCAGATAAGACAGACAAGACAGACAAGACAGACAAGACAGACAAGACAGACAAGACAGACAAGACAGACAAGACAGACAAGACAGACAAGACCGCACCTCGACATCAAAGACAAATTTATATTTAGGGAAGTTTTGGAGTAGCTGTGGCTGAATGATTTATAATCTATGGCCTCTTATTATCATTTTGTTTCATTAAATTTCTAAAAAATGATGTTTGTTTTCAAGATTTTCAAATCTTCTTATATTTGGAATTACACCCAAAAATTTAAAATATTTCGCAATTAGATAATTTAGAGTTTTCATTATTGAATTACCATAATTTATAAGGTTATTTCAATGTTGTATTATATAAAGCACATGATTTATAAAAGAAGTAAAAATTTAAAAATAATTATTTGAAAATTTGAAAAATCCATTCGAATAATAAACACAATTTGTAATAAATTAAGCAACGTCAGGTTTAAAGGTTATAGTTACCATTTTGTTTATTATAGTTTATGTTTTTTTAATGTAAACTGTTTATTGCCTTTATAAAAAACAAATTTCAATAAAGTGGTCTTGGATAAATAAACCCAATGGAAAGAGAGTAAAGAAAAAGTTTAATGAAAAACGTAGCAAGGATGAGGGAGGGGATGGAAAGAGCAAGGATGAGGGAGGGGATGGAAAGAGCAAGGATGAGGGAGGGGATGGAAAGAGCAAGGATGAGGGAGGGGATGGAAAGAGCAAGGATGAGAGAGGGGGTGGAAAGAGCAAGGATGAGAGAGAGGGTGGAAAGAGCAAGGATGAGAGAGGGGATGGAAAGAGCAAGGATGAGGTAGGGGATGAAAAGAGCAAGGATGAGAGAGGGGGTGGAAAGAGCATAAACGAGAAGATGACAAGATATCTAAGGAGAATATTCGGAGACTTCTAGCCGAGCGCTCCAATCTCTCAGTATAAGAGTAAGCCTAGTATTTGAAGGAGGGCAGATATTAAACAATTACACAGTATACAGGGTTACACAAAAAACAAACAAACATTTTCCAATAATAAAATTCCAATTTTTAACATGACAAAATGTGACAAAGATAAATTACGACGAATGCCACACTCGCAACACCGCACAGTTTATTTTATTAAGAAAATAATTTTAAACAATTCTGCGACATAAATAACATAATTCTGTAATTTACCAAATATTCACAACATTGGAAACATTCCACAATATCATAAGCTGTCATTTTTTTTTTTTTTAAAGATGAAAGCTAGAAAACTAAAAAAATTGAGTTTTGCCAAAAACTTCAATTTTCTAATCTCTTTATCGTTCCAACCTGATGGTTCAAACTGGAATTCATATATATTAGATTTACGACATTGTGTTGCACAGATAAATCTATAAATTAGAAAATCAGAGTTTGGGGCAAAGACTCAGTTACTTTCAAAAACAATTGTAAAAACCTAAAAACACATTTTATGAAATATCTAATACACTTTTCTCTTTCAGCCAATTCAGTTTAGTTTTTGACAAAATGTTTAAATAAAATTGAACTCTCACATCATAAACTCTTTTAAGCACCGACAAAACTGATGTTTGTATATATTCAATGAACATGGCGCACTCCTCTTTCAGACACTTTTGTTTATATAAAGGGAGTCCATGTGTTATGAATTGCAAATAGCTAACCTGGGAAGCAAATACATTGTTGTTAAGAGTACATAGTATAAAATAAGCAACATAGGAAGAATGTATCCATTTTTTTCCTGTATATATTTTTAAACTTTATATATTTGTCTGACTCTTCTGAAGGGGGGTGGTGAGGATAGTAAAGGTCGGAGAGTGTTATGAATGCCAGATGCAAGCTTTAAACAATTGATTTAATGAGAATCGATACCCATATTGTATTTGTATACCTTGCGCAGGACTAATCACAGAGTGGGGATGGGGTCTCTTTAAAAACTGAAGGTAGTTGGGGTAGTGAGGGTAGTTCCTATTCAGATTCAGCTTCAAGGGTGGGATGGGGTCTCTATAAACAGACGGTAGTTGGGGTAGTGAGGGTAGTTCCTATTCAGATTCAGCTTCAAGGGTGGGGATGGGGTCTCTCTATAAACTGAAGGTAGTTGGGGTAGTGAGGGTAGTTGCCATTCAGATTTAGCTTCAAGGGTGGGACTTAAAACAGACGGTTGTTGGGGTAGTAAGAGTAGTTGCCATTCAGATTTAGCTTCAAGGGTGGGGGTGGGGTCTCTCTTAAAACAGACGGTAGTTGGGGTAGTACAATGATACCCTTGAAGCTTTGTCTAATCACGTAAAAATTACATATTAACGTGTTTGCTTCTTTAAACAGTTTATTTGTAATAAATATCGGGTCACATGATATTCTGTAAACTTTCAGTACACTGCACATTATTAATTATTTATGTTTGTAATTAATTTAACAAGCGACGCTAAACCGACAAAAACTTGTTGAAATTGAGCGCCGACTCAACTCTTGAAACATAAGATACAATCTTAAGTAGAACCAACCATGTTTGAGCCTTGTCTCAAATTTAAGACGCGGCTCAAATTCTTTAAATTCGGCGTCAGTTTTAATTCATGCATTGGCGAACATTTTAAATGAACTTCGTACACGTAGTTGTTTTGTAGTAAGCACCTACTCCTTAACAATTTCTCGAAACATATCTATCCAGGTCCGTCCACTATCAAACTCCAACAGTACAGAACCCCAGAGCCCAAAATTTAAAAGAGTATCATTGAACGAAACTTCAAAGTTTCCTTTTTGGGGTCTTAACCTTTGTGTAGATTTTGATTTTAGAGATTCGAAAAAAATGTAGAATATTAAGAAGCTAAATAAAATAATATTTCATAATACAATTATTGATATACACAAAATTGCTTAACCCCATTTATGAAACCCAGGCTCTAAAACTGGTTTTCATAACGATACCCTGTCTTAAGTTTTGGGCTCAGAGCCCAAAATTTAAAAGAGTATCGTTGAACGAAACTCCCGAGTTTCGTTTTTGGGATCTTAACATTTGTGTAGATTTTGATTTAAAAGGTTTTTAAAAAATGGAAAATATGGAAAAACTAAATAAAGTAATATTTCATAACACAAATATTGATATCCACAAAACTGCCTAACCCCATTCATGAAACACGGGTTCTAAAACTGGTTTTCATGACGATACCCTGTCTTAAGTTTTGGGCTCAGGCTCTAACTGCCACACAGGGACACAAGTGTAGCTATCAAAATCCTGCTACTAATACAGTGCTCTAAATGCAACACAGGGACACAAGCCTAGCTATACAATAAGCTATATATATCGATCCCGAATGATGGGGGCGATCCGTTGCTCTAAATGCCACACAAGGACACAAGCCTAGCTATACAACAAGCTGAATATCGATCCCAAATTAAAGGGGAAGATCCCACCTGATTGTTAAAACAGGGTTTCAGGATTACTTTCGCACAGAAAACAGTACGGAGTCATATTTCTTAGTTCATATTAGAATTGGATCATTAACAGCATAATTACAAGTTATGTATATAATGTAGTTAACAATCACTGCAATATTTGGGTGGTATTTCGGAGTAATATATATATATATATCTAAGTAGATGGAATGGGTTAATTGCAATGGGTTTGTGTAATTACTATATGAACAAGGAACAACATAAATTACTATAGGCTTGTTGATACATAACCACTTTTCTTGTGCACCTGTGTCTTCAAAAAGCATAATTATTATTATATTATAAAGATGTATTCTCACACACAGATATAAATACACATATTAATGGTGTAGTTTAAATTTCTTTAGATATTTTGAATATATAGTTTTACAAAAGAAAAATAAAAAAGTATGCATAATTATGCACAAATAGGCGAAATTGATCATTTCTCATTACAAAACATATTTATCATTTCAGTTATAATCATAGAATCCTTCAACCAAGGATTTAATGCAAGGAAAGTTATTTCAGAGGTGTACGCATCTTTTGTACTGCAGTGTATTGTCACTGGGCGGAAATTTAAACACAAGACGGATGTCGAAGCCTGACATGGGATCCATCTTTCACATAAATAATCAATGAAATTTTCTGGTCATAGGAGACTATTATGTGAATTATCAAAATTATCAAAATTCAATGCTTATAACCTACTGGGATACTGAACGAACACTGAGGCATCTATTCTTGTTTACAAATTCCGCCCAGAGAGAACTGGTTTCAATATGTACGCAGAGTATACGCAACTGCAATTAACTTTCCTTGCATTACATTCTTGCCTTCAACATCTAAATTATTCATTCTTGTATTTAATAGTTCTTATAAAAATCACTTGATTACATTCAGTTACAGGACATTCTTGTTTTGAAGCAACTATTTATCATTTTTATACATTTGGAGGAAAAACACATGTTAACATCGAGAACACATAAACATTTTACAGTGAAGAAACATTTTTTTTAAAGATAAGTAGCATAACTCTCAGTGCCTCTTAACTATAATATATTTACGTTATGAATCAATCTGGCAGTTTGCATTTAGACTTATCTACAGGTGGAAATAATACTAATCATATACAGTGTGTCCCACTAAACATGAATCTGATTTGATCCTTAGATTTTTTAAATAATTATGACATTAATTCTACAATTTTGTTTTAATAACACTTTTTAATACAATAAACAAAATGTGGACAGTGCTAAAAACTTTAGAATTGTGGATATTGAGATCAATGCTTGACTTTTTTTATTAATCTTCAGATTAATCAGTTGTCAGCTAGCTCTGGGAGGTTAGGACACAGAAATCAGTGTTCTTCTCTAAGTAGCTTGGTCTATATTCGGACAGGGAGCGTTTTGCAAATTAGACATGATGTCACCACACCTTAAAAACAAAGAAAGAAAATAGCTCGCCAGGATCAAGAAAAATAGAAACCTAGAAAGAAGAATCCTGAAAGGTGGGTAACAATGCACTAAGATGCTGGTTTTTTTACTCTACTGGCTGCAATATTAGGTGGACTATGAAGACTGGACTACTGTCGAAAATATCATATCCTGGAGCAACAAAGCCAACAACGCCCCATTTTGTAATGCCGTGCAACTCCAATGTGAAATAACTTTAATTTTGTATAAAATCGGAAGAAAGTAGGAATTTTCTATGCTAGGGGAGTCCCTCGATACCCTTCTTAGTGGACATTAGTTGTTGGCTCCATTTTTAGGACCACTAGGCGTAAACAGGATTTAGATGTGAAACCTACTTTAACCCTTCAGTCCTCAGAAAGACCCAGAGCTAGGATGTAACCAGTGTGAGATCAAAATCTCAGAATAGGGATAGTTCCATTGATGTAACCCCTTCAGTCCTAAGCTAAGATTGCAAGTAGCCCAGCCTATAAACAAGACAAGTATTAGCTCTTTTGTTTATTGCTATAGGTCGGACAGAAAGTGGGTTGGATGATAAGTCACCAACCTTGAGAAATATT